CTCCACCTTTGTGCTCTGATGATGAACACGAATGAATGCATTTTTAAATCAATTATTAACAGCTTGTATTTATTCCATTTCGTAACTTCCTCACTGGTCTTCTTGAATGAGCATTTACAATACAGTATGGTATGGTATGTGGTATATCCCTTTGTGTTAGCAAAATTTACAAGGCGTTTTCATGTTTTAAATTCTAACTTACGCAATGAATTGTTGATGATATTATTAGTAGTGTACTATATACATCTTGAGAACTTGTCATTTTTAATGTTTAGAAAAAAAAAAGAATTAACTATCTAGTGCCAATCCAAATAGCGTGACCTTTTGACTACTCGTGTGTAATACGACTTTATACTATTAATTTTAGCTTGCTAAGTATTTAGGTGTAGTTACTTTTACGGTACATTAATATCGCAAAAATAAAAATAAATTACTGATCTACTTCAGGTAATTTACTATATTCAGTATTAAGATGATCTTTTATGCGATTTAATACCTTTTCGCTCAAAGCTTTCAGGCGTGTTATTTGTAGAACGTTTTGTGCCAAATATCCTAGTCAAATTGTTTGATTATTGTTATTTAGTAACCTTTATATTTTATTGTTTATATATTTTTTAAGTGTTATGTAATGGCTGTGAATTACTTTATGGGATGAGATCCAAGATTAACACATTTTGTTTCTTTGTATTTAATACAATTAATAAATTGTTTAATAATTGGTACTCACAAAGATGTTAAATATAGGTGGTCCATCATACGATCCAAATAGCACAATACACTTTATTACTTATTGGTATAAAGATCGCACAATTATTAAAATTCAAACAAAATGGACTTCTATACGGTCGTGCCAAGATTCACATTTCATATTTCTTTTTAGCCACTGTAATGTTTGTTATTTACTTTAAGCTTACCTAAACGGTATAATGAATAAAGTTACACTATATCATTATCGAACTATAACGAGATGTTAGGTTTTTTGCAAAAAGATAATAACTTTATATATTGCACGATGTTTCTCTAACATCCACCTGCGAGCTTGTATTGCCCCGAAGATCCAATTTAAAACGATCCATCTTTTTAACGTAACGTAAAAAACAAAGTCGGCAAAGTGATATTACTAATTCAGTGATAAGGATCGTAATAACACCGAGTAACGCTAATACAACAATATGATCGAGCTATCCGGCTCTTTTATCATGATTATCGTTACGTTATGATCTTGCTGTTAGGCTATAAAAGCTAAAACCTGGGTCAACCGCGAGCAGGCTAGAGCTTGCTTTCACTCCGTAATGCTAAAAATAGCCTAAGCGATGTTCATTGTATGTGAAGTAAATCGCATATAAAGAAAACTAAACAATGTCGGTGTTGTTACAAATCAGTCGACATACAATATGTTATTTACAGTATAACAGCCGACTTATAGTTCGTTAATATGGGACTCGTACATTTTGCGATATAATACGGATACTTAATAATACGGATTTGCTAACCGTAATGTCCCAATAATACATAGATGATTTAATTCTAAAATGGCCTAGTTGCGACAGCTTAGCTAATAGTTCTACAGTGCTACGTAAATCCTTTACTAATAAAAATTCATGAAATTATTTTTGTGACATTTCCTATTTTCGTAGTTTTCTTCTATGTGTTGCAAATGCATCCTAAAGACATATATGCTTGTAAAACTAGACTGTAATGATAACTGCCAAATTATAATAACATGAAAATATTACATATTTCTTACAAGTAAAATATCCTACGCTATCGGTAGATAGGACTAATTCATCTAAACGTAAACGTGTATCTAGATTAAAGCTAGATTTATCTGTAATTGTCCCTTATTGAGCAATATTAATATTATTATATACCTATTTTATATTTATTTGTTCTTAATTAAAGTTGATGTTGTTTTAGTGGCAATACCAGGTATAGGTGGCGGCATACTTTTTGAGCAAGACCACAGACAAATAAACTTGCGCAACAGACGTTTTTGCATGTAAAATTGCTACTGCGCAGGCTTCCTTGTCTATGGTCGTTGCTCAAGAAGTTTTCTGCGAGGTATAGACAGGTTCAACGCCATGTTCTAGCAGTTTCACTGTTAATTTATTATCAAATTAATCGAATAATCATCTATCCTCTTAAAATAAGACCACTGTACGTTGTAATAATTAGATAGCAGTAATGAGAATCGAAGTTGCGGTTATGCATTATGTAAGAGTACTTCCACACCTGCTGAAAATACACGACGAACATTCGCCTGGATACGCTCGCAATGTTTTTGTATTAACCCGAGGCCGGCCCTTCCCTTGGCTATTTTTGTTTCCTATTTGTAAACTTGACAGTCTATCAACTTGACAATATATTTCCGTATATATTGTCAAGTTGATAGACTGTTGTCAAGTTAACAAAAAGTAAATAATGTGATACACATAATTTGTGGTGCTATAGGCCGACAATTTTGCGACCAAAACCGGTTGTAGATGATTCGGGGCTGTACTTACGGCAGGTGTGTTGTGGTTATCGTTATATTAACGCACATTTTCACACTGTCCATCCCAGTGTCAATCGTTTGATGAGTAGAATAGAATCGAATTCAATACGAATATACTTTTTTTTTTAATCATCGGGGAAAGAAAAAAAATATTATTACAAGCGAGTAGTAAGTTAGCCTCTAAGCGCAATTTCGATACGCAATCGTCAGTACTTTAGTTATGAAGATTGAATTTATATGCGAGACTAAAACATGAGTATTATAGCTATTAGAACAAATGAATATAGTTACGTTTAGGTTATATTGTTAATTATGATTTACTGTCAATTGCCAAAAAATACAATAAAGCGTCGTAGATTTTCCAAGCATTATTTAGTTTTATATGTACAGGGTTCGTATTGAAAATTTTTATTAGATTATTTGATTTTGAAAAGTTAGTATTAAAGGGAATATTCGCGTACTAGTTAATACGTTTAATGTAGTACGTGCATATTGTGGAGTAGTATTAAAGAGTTTAGATTGTTTATAAGTTATTGTTGAATCCAAAATATTGTAATCTCCAAACCTCGTCTTCCCGTACACTGTTTAAATAGATTTTTCTTTAAAATATAATAATATTGTGTGTAGTCTGATAGAGAGTATGCATGTGCACTAAACTAATTCCTAATAACGAAGTTAAATTTTTATTTATTTTTAAAACTGTTGTTTTTATACATCTCTCACTCATGTTATTAACTAGCACAACGGAACTTTTAATTACCTCATATAGAGGCGAAAGTTTGATTAAATATGGCTTTATGTGGTTCAATTGTATATTAATTATTTATATCAAAATGAACACTGAATATAGAAAAATCGGTTTATATTGTTATAAAGTTACAATGCAATGGATATAATTTTTATTAAAATGACGAAATTAGTTATAAAGTTTATCTCTGAAGCTATTAACGTGCGGCCAAATGATGATGCATTTAGTGGTTCCGAATACCCACTGGCTGTATAGTGTTCAATTAATCGAAAAAAAAACTTACGTGGTCGTGTGTGCACGAAGCAATTTTAGGCTAATAGCTATAAGAGGTCTCCGACCTCCCTAGTTAGCGCAATAACGATCGATTTAAAGGTAGTTTATAAGAACTTCGACTTTTCGATGGAGATTGTACAATCCGTATAGACTGTAACGTTAAGATTTCATTAATTGTTGTATTATTTTTTAGTAAGTATAATATCACGAATTCGGATATTGTTTCGATTATAACAATGTTACTTCCTTTTTGAATTTATATTGTGTATGTATGTGTACGGTATCCCTGCAATACACGACACTACCCACGTGGCTGGGAATAGTTAAATAAATAAATTTAACGAATCAATGACGTTTCAATGGATTATCGTTTTGTTCAATTTAATTTTTCCTGAATCGTTAAAAGCAAGAAGACCGCCCAAGCAAAATTCTGTTTATGACAGGAAGATTTTATAGATTTTAATTTTTTAAATTGTTTTCAATTTTAAATCTTTATTTCGGCGGTCTTCTTGTTTATTTATAAGATTATATTTTAAGCTGCCAGGAAATTCATGTAAGTTAAATAATTGTCACCTTAATATTACTATGATTTTATTACAGGCATTTATTGTTTCATAAAATTCTATATTTTTTGTGTTTGTTCATAATTAATTTATTATTTTAATATTTTTTTCAGACCCCTTTTTCCTTTGCTATTATGTTTCAAGCATTTACATTACTTTAATACATTTTTTTTTCAGAGCTTACTTTCCCTCTCCCATTTTCTTATAATATTTTGTTTCTTTGTTTTTTTTTAAATATATAAGTTGTACGACCACACCCAAAGACACCAATTAGATTTAATAGTTTTTAAAGTGTAGTGTTTTCTCATTCTATTGTTTTTGCAAAGACAAAGATAAAAATTATTGACGTCTTAAGTGCGGTCAATATATGTATTTTTTATTTATCGTCACATTAATAAGCATTAATTATGTAACTGTAGTATTTAAATTCAAACTGTTGTATTGTTTTATATTGTTCTCCAAAGTTTTCTCAATGCAAATGGAGAAACAGTTTTACTTTTAATGTGGCGATATGTGTTACTCACAAATTAATATACATATTCTTAATTCAGAGTTTAGGTAGCGCCTATAACGCAAAATTAATTATGTATTCTAATAAAAAGTTCAGAGCCATCCTATTTAAGTGAGTGTTAACTGTGATCTCTAGGTACTGTTTCTTAGTTGACTTAAAATTTACTAATCACCAGCACAACAGCGTCACCCCGAACCAAAGCTAAACATGGAATGTAGAAATATGATATATATGCACTCAAAAAGTGGAGGTTTTTTACAACACACAGCGATTAAGAATACAGTTCAATAGTGGACCTAACCAATGCCAATTTTAGTGACGATTGACTTTGTCTCTAGCCTTCATTAACAAAGTTGATGTTCAGTATTTATTAATGAATTGAATTTAATACAAATAATTATTTTCTAACAGAAGAAACATCACCAGAAGCGGAGAATACAGTGTCATCAGCCAGTCTTTGCATTTCGCCCACAAGTGAACGGACAAACGGCGTGCCTCTTTGTACGTCTACGCCGTGTGCGCCGCGCGTACCGATCAATGGCCATGTCGTCAGCGACGGCAAAGCGTATGATGACGTCACGATGTTGGCTGAGGTCGTTAACGGAAAGGCGCACGGTGACGTCATCAACAACGGGACCGACGCCGCCGAGGAGAAGGTGCGCACTACCGTTGTCAATGGCAAAACGCGAGCTGACGTCATCAATGGAAACGTCACTGGTGAGCTTAAACTTCTTGGATACTGAGATAATGATTGATGACAGTGCAGTATTGTATTAAATATTTAAGGTACGTACAGATAAGAGACGGAGATCGTCAAAAAAATTCAATTCAATAGTGTCACTCGACTTTGAACTCTAAAATCAAATGAATACAATATTTTTCATTTTAATTAGACAATTATTTCTTCTCAGTGAACATAGTGTCGGAATCAACGTGCAGCATGGACGTGCTCAGCGGCGGAGAGAGCGACGCGGGCGACACATTGAGCAGGCGTAATAACAATAACAACAGGTATGTCTTTGTGACAGTAAATACAGACTTGCAATTGATTTAGTTAGGTGTTTACTAGATCTGCTACTAATAGCATTGAATACTAGTGGCCCTCCCTGGCTTTGCTTCGGTGTACAGCTGTAGTGTAGACTATAGTTTTTGTTCCCAGGGTTGTATTTATGCACTTTTATTTTTGGTTGAACGCGCTAATCTCAGGAAGTTCAAGTTCAAATCATTTATTGCACCATATTGTTACATTGATCTTAGATAGAAATTATAATTATAGATACAAACATGACCCTGCTAGGGCATTGCAAAATAGTAAATAAACATAAACATTTTGCTACCACGGCCCTATTAGCCGCGTCGAAATTTTCCTAGCCTTAAGCTGCAAGGCAGCGCCATCTCTTCGCATTGTAGGTAACCCACAATGTCAAATGAATACTTTTTCAAGTATTAAACATTTGCTATTTCTTGCAATTATAGTTATGATTTTATTTATTTTTTAAGCATTTAACTGCTAGATGTTTAAATCTAAAGAAAAGTTTACTAGAAAAAAATCCACGCGAATGTCCCGCCCGCTGCCTGGTCCGCGTAGATTTTTTTTCTAGAAAACTTTTCTTTAGATTTAAACATCTAGCAGTTAAATGCTTAAAAAATAAATAAAATCATAAACATTTTCTTAACATTATGTACGTATTCTATATTAACATTATTTATTGATTGTCACTATTTAAAAATTAGAAAAATGGAAATTTTGTTTAAAAATATATTTTTATATACAATGGTTTTATTTTGTAATTATTATTTTAAAAGTGTGATTAATTATGGTGTAGTGTGCTTTTATTGGTGAAGACCTGTAATTGCCTTTCGGTTGTTATTTAAGTTTTTACTATTTTTATTAATAGCTGATGGTCTTCCAAAAAATGAACAAATAAATAAACATTACGCTACAAAGAGTAGCAGAGGACCATCAATGAATAATGATACAAAATCGGGTAAAAATATTCTATTTGTGAGCTTCCGTAGCGTGCGCTGGGTAAAACGGTCAAACTAAGACAGTAATCGTGTATTGTATTACACAATATTCCAGTTTAAAAGTTCTATTATAAAGTCCACGACATATCTTTTAAGTTTGACTCACTATAACGTTCTTCCTCAAATTAACGCGGGTGAAACCGCAGAGGACCTTTAGTTGTGACCTAACTGTAATAGGTCCAAGTGCGAATGGGTGGGTGCTACCGACTGCAGATGTAGCCTGGACCAACGGCTTAACGTGTCTTCCAAATCACGGAGGAGCTCGTGGTAGTCAATTGTTGGTCACTTATCCAATGACCGACCACTGGGAAAGTTTCTTAACTTCAACGTTTGCAGCGGAATGCACCACTGTAATTGTACATATAGTATCGTGAAGTTTTTTTGTAGATATTAATGTCTTTTATAAAACTTCAGTACATCACTTTGCTCTATTGTCAATGCCTTCCGCTGCGTACGCGATAAAAGGTTATTTATTGGATTTTTTTACACGTTGTTTTACAGTATCGTAGTTTTCATACGCAACCCGTAGTTTTTTGGAATTACTCTAAAGCCTATCTTCATCAAGGATAATGTAGGATTCTAAACATTAAAGAATTTTTTAAAGCACTCCAGTAGTTTTGGAGCCTATGCAATACAAACAATCAAATCTTTCCTCCTTATAATATGAGTATAGATGTTTACATCTAAAAGAATCAAATATACTTCAACGAATTAAAGATGAGCTTTTGCTACCTAGGCGGCTATTTCTCCCAATGAGGGTTTTCTGTAATGTCGGGCACCGAGTGACAGCACTGAGATGAAAGGTCTACTCATCTGTCGAATAACGTATATCTCTATAATCTATGGATCAAATTAAATGCGCGCTCGATTAGGTCGCGCCAAAAACTTTATTCAAATGACCCATGTCACAGTGGCGCCAACTGGTGACCTGAATTTTCATAGACAATCTCATCAAGTTACCACAGACATAAAACTATTTCTTCCGCTGCTTGTTGGTGAATATCTATCACCTCTATCTATTTATCGAAGCTACTAAGTAATATTATTATTTTTATCTGGCCAGTAATATAGAAACTGGAGCATTACATATTTTTCTCTTGGTCTCAGTTAAGCATGGCACAATCTAATTTGTTATAGCATTTAGTTTTTAACAAGATCATCTGAAGTTTACATCTCTAATAAATTGACCGGATTCCTATTACATTCAAGGTTTAAGCAATGATACACTGATGGTGAAGATAACTTCCTTAATTATAATTATACACGAGCTAAAAATGGGGAATGAGGGCTACCGTTTTCTGCCTCACCAGATGGCGCTACTGTTGAGTGAGGTCCTAAATTGTAACTTTTAAAGTTTATTAATACGCACATGAAATCAAAGGTTACTTTTAGATCGTATTTTAACACAAAAGAACCATATCCTAAACATAATAGGCCATGCCACAGTGACGCGCAGTTCCGTTTTATTCGGAAAAAATGGGAACATAATCATATTTCTAAGCTCAAATTTCACATAACTCATATTTGCCATAATTAAGCCGAATTGTTACCTATTGTGAATAATGTTATGTTGTGAATAACAACATTATTTTAATTAGAAATAAACCCGCGTAGTCAACCAACAAGCAATAACATTTGACATTTCGGAGACCTCACGCTACACTAGCGCCTCTAGCGGCGGATTCATACGCGATAGCCCTCATTAATTAGTGTGTGCATATCATCAGCATTAATATCCCCACTGCTGGGGCACATGCCTTTTCTATTGATAGAATAGGGAGTTTGGTCATGAAATTCTCGCACAATAAAGTATTTTAATCGCGATGAACTTCGCTCGTCTTAAATATACAATTTTCAATTACCTTTTGAGTAAAGAATCGTACATTGTTCACCAAGAGGAGAAAGTGTCCTATTATCAACGAGGGTGTAGTTAATACACGGGAATAGCACTTGTCCTACCACGTGGGTCCAGTGCAAATGGGTGGGTGCTACCGACTGCAGATGTAGCCTGGACCAAGGGCTTGTCTTCCGAATCACGGAGGAGCTCGTGATAGTAAATTGTTGGTCACCTATCCAATGACCGACCACTGGGAAATTTTATTAACTGTGACGATCGCAGCCGAATGCACTAACCACTTGCGTCATCGAGCTTCACCCATGCACATTACACCGTAATTCTGTCACAGCTGAGGAGCTGTTTAAAAACACATTTCTAATGGGGTATATTTTCTATCTAGCATATCATCTAACTTGACGAACGTTCTTCGCGAAGGCACGATAGAGGCGCCGAAACGTCGCGGCGCAGACCTGTCTTACTTCATAGCTAAGGAGCTTCTTATGACGGAACGCACCTACAAGAGAGATTTGGAGCTCGTCACTGTGGTAAGATGATAGATCGATTGAGGTTTTTTGTTGGCCGTGGAGTAGACAAGTCGAGCTTATTGTATTCCTACTGTGATTGTTTTTCTCTTTTTCACAAATGCTCCATGCCGGCACTTCACTTGGTTAATCGTGTTTGCTAATAAAACTTGACATCAGTCTGACCTTTTCATTTCTAATAAAGCATGATAAGGACAGGCTGTTGTTGAGTGACAGTGTGATCCTAGTAGCCAAGTGAATTGCCAGAATTAGAAAAAAAATAGTGTGCTTATGACCACACGACTGAAGTGAAACTTCTTTAGCTGTACCTGTATGTATATATATATATATATATAGTTCTTCTGTGAGTGTGTATGTCACTGAACTTCTCTTAAACGACTGGACCAATTTTGATGAAATTTTTTGTGTGTGTTCAAGGGGATCTGAGAATGGTTTAGATTCACTTTTGTCCGCTGGACAACCCCTATTTTTTTAGGGCGGTACGAAGTTCGCTGGGTCAGCTAGTATATATGTAAAATATATACATGTATGTACATACCTATTTCATTTACTAGCTATAAGAGAAAGAGAGAAAAAATGTGCGCGCGCACTGCTTTCTCTTGCTTATATCCCCCATTCAACTCCCGTTCGCCTCGCCCGAACACACTTTTCGTAACGCGTAAGGCATTCGCCAGCTTATCTCCCAAGTCAAGCGTGCGTTAAGAAGTTTCACTTCAAAAGGCTTGTTGCTTGTGTAGTTGAATTTGATCTCGATACGAATCAAATTCGATATTGGTTCGTGCTAATGGTAAAGTTCATTCTTTTTCTGTGTATATCCTAGACTTGGTCGCGTCACGTATCGGAGCTGGCCGCTAGCGGCGGCGGTACTGGCGTGTCGGAAGCGGCGACGACTCTAGCGCGTGCGTGCCTAGCGTTAGAACCGCTAGCGTTGGCGTGCGGCGCGGCGTTAGCAAGACTAGAACGCGCGCTGGCTAATTCCTCACGGCTGGCGCATGACGCAGACAGCGGAGATTGTGAGTAACGGTGTACTTCCTAATGTATATCTCGTACCATGAGGCGCTGACGACTCCAACGCGCGTGTGCTTAGCATTAGACTAGCGGTTAGCGCGGTTGGAATGCGCGCTGGCTAATTCTCCGTGATTAGCGCAGGACTCTGAAGACAACGGAGATTGTGAGTGCACTGTGTATTGTGTATACGTTTGAAGGCGACGACGCCGCTGGCATGACCGCTGGCGCTGGAATACGGCGCAGTGCTACTGCGACCGCTGTCGCACCCAGCTTCAAGATAACCGTGATTGTGTAGTAGATGAGCCTTCCAATAATAGACTAAATTTTATTCTACTTTATCCCAACTTTAACAAAAAATCACCATGATCATATTAAGCCGGGTCTCCAGCGCGTATTTTGTATCTACCAACCAACAAAAACATATTAACAGTCAACAAAATCGTCTACACAAAACGTTGTTTCACTACACATATTTGTTGCATCAACAATGTTTTTGCTTTTCGAGCCTGATGGACATCACGTACACAAATCTCAATCCCTCCTTCGCGGGCCGAGGGGCAGTTTATTGTTTCATATGCCATTTTTTCTGACAACTCGCTAGCGGGGCCTCCGTTCCAAATCTACGCTCCGAGTACAACTTTTCACTTTGACTTTTCAATTTTGATATAAAATTTACGAAACTGTTGTCAAATTTGACATTTTTGTTTTTGTGTAGTTTTTGAACGTAGCTCTGTGTATTTTGTGTACGACAGTCACTTAGGCAGCAGACGGTGTGTATAGAGAAACACGTTTTCAGAAATAAAGTTTTGTGTGTATTTTTATTGAAAGTTTACAAAAAACTTTTGTTGGAGATCCAAGGAGGCTTTAGCCAAGTGAAATTGTTGTTACTCATAAAGATCAATCTGTTAATTGTTTTCTTTCCTTTGAGTTCAGGTTATTAATTTCAGGTAACGAAGAACCAGAGTACAAAAGGATAGCTGAATATTTACACGAGTATTTATCAAGCACGTCCGATGTAAGTTTTTTTTTGGCTTTAAACAATTAAATTATATTTACAGTAATGCCTTTCTTTCCATTTTTTTCTGTTTTTGCAAGTTATAAAATCTCGGAAGTATTTTTAGGTGATACAATAATAAGTACATTTTATAAAACAAATAAACTGGATGCGAAGAGCGCAGGATTGTTGCATATTGAAATCCCTTGAGGAGGATCCCTTGAATCCCTTATGTCCATTAGTGGACGTCTATCGCCTGATGATCATGATGATTAAACAAATTTCCCGTGCCGCGTTTGTCTGTGTGTCATTATGCGTGTGATGAGCTCAAAAGTTTTTTAGATTTTGATGCGGTTTTCACCGTCAGTTAGATTTTTTACGTTATTTTTATATACTTGTTCGATAATAGAAACTGTAGTTATAATTTTTATTATTTTTCAAGCATGTAGGTAACTGCTTGATGTTTAAATCTAAAGAAAACAATCTAAAAAAAACTGTAGTTTTCTTAACTGAAACTGTAGTGAACTCCGCGTTCTAGCATAGATTTGGCTCAAAATCTCCAACATTTTTATCACGCACACATTGACGGTACGTTTACCTAGAATTTATTTGAGTGGTTTACTGTCGAGAATGACGGAAATCAGTCTTCGGGTATCGTGCTAAAGGATCTTTACGAATGCTGCGAAAATTGGAACTAACGCCGCCGTCTTTGTAAACGACATATTTTATATGGCATTTGCAGTAAATTATGTAGACAGTGCCGCCCTCCCTGAACTGTCACTCACATTCATAAAAATTCTTGTCTTACTGTACTTTGTGGCACTAATTGTATGTTAATATATTGCCATATTCAGGCGTTTGCATACTACACCGAGCACGCGGGCACAATGGTCGGCCTTGTGGAAAGCGTGCGGCGATGCAACGAGGCAGCGCGCGCCGAGTGCTGCGCGTTCGAGGCGCACTCGCCCTTACCGCTCGCCTGCCTGCTGCTGCGGCCGCTTCACCGTCTACTGCACTACGCGGCCATCGCTGAAGGTAACGCGTAATTGGCAGTATATACACCGCGCGCCGAGTGCTGCGCGTTCGAGGCGCACTCGCCCTTACCGCTCGCCTGCCTGCTGCTGCGGCCGCTGCACCGTCTACTGCACTACGCGGCCATCGCTGAAGGTAACGCGTAATTGGCAGTATATACACCGCGCGCCGAGTGCTGCACGTTCGAGGCGCACTCGCCCTTACCGCTCGCCTGCCTGCTGCTGCGGCCGCTGCACCGTCTACTGCACTACGCGGCCATCGCTGAAGGTAACGCGTAATTGGCAGTATATACACCGCGCGCCGAGTGCTGCACGTTCGAGGCGCACTCGCCCTTACCGCTCGCCTGCCTGCTGCTGCGGCCGCTGCACCGTCTACTGCACTACGCGGCCATCGCTGAAGGTAACGCGTAATTGGCAGTATATACACCGCGCGCAGAGTGCTGCACTTTCGAGGTGCACTCGCCATTACCGCTCGCCTGCCTGCTGCTGCGGCCGCTGCACCGTCTACTGCACTACGCGGCCATCGCTGAAGGTAACGCGTAATTGGCAGTATATACACCGCGCGCCGAGTGCTGCACTTTCGAGGTGCACTCGCCCTTACCGCTCGCCTGCCTGCTGCTGCGGCCGCTGCACCGTCTACTGCACTACGCGGCCATCGCTGAAGGTAACGCGTAATTGGCAGTATATACACCGCGCGCCGAGGGCTGCACGTTCGAGGCGCACTCGCCCTTACCGCTCGCTTGCCTGCTGCTGCGGCCGCTGCACCGTCTACTGCACTACGCGGCCATCGCTGAAGGTAACGCGTCCGTGGCAGTATATACACCGCGCGCCGAGTGCTACGCGTTCGAGGCGCACTTGCCCTTACCTTACTTCTTGTGGTTTTTTTACTTACTTTGAAGAAGTTTGACATTCATTTATGACCAGATTTAGTTTTTTAGTTTGCAGTAAAAATGTAGCTTAGTCTGGTTACGTATTCCTAGTAATTGTTATTTTAAACTCATCTCCAAAACATATCTAGGTAACTTAGTTTTAAAAGGCCTATCTTTCGGTGAGAATAAGTTATTGTAACCGGCCATTAAAGCGATCACGGGAGACAGTTAAACGTTGATTTATGAAAAAATATTTTAAATGGGTATAAAAATCTCGTTCTCCGTTCCTACTAATAGATGGTATTTCATTCAATATTGCGTTTTTTTCGCAGATCTTTGCGAAGTGGGAAGCGGCGAGACTGGACAGAAGGCGTTAAATGTAGCGCGACGATGCGCTAGGTTTGCGAGACTTCAATTACCGCATGCTCACAACCACTCCGCACTCTGCCAGTTCCAGCGAGACATTACTGGTAAGAAACTATTCAATGAAAATTATAGAAATATAGTATAGGTATGAAAAAAAAAAATAGCAGATAAGGAGGTTTTGACATCACGTCTGGGTTACCAATTTGGCTGCTAGTGATGGGAGCTGAGAAATCAAGCAGTCAATGTGCCGCTTGATAACTACGAGCATTCTTTAGCGCTATTTTTTATCTTATATACTAATTTTCTTAGCTAATAAGAGTTTGCGTTAGCCGGAAAAAAATAAGTAACCCCCATGAATAAATTTTAGATATTTACTTTTTTTCCATTTTAGTTGACCTTAATACCCCTTGACCTCTGAAATTTTAAAAATTGGATTTGATATTAAATTCGGAACTAGGAAAAAGTTATGTTTTTTTTAAGCATTTAACTGCTAGATTTTTAAATCTAAAGAAAAGTTTTACTAGAAAAAACCCCGCGTCCCGTCCCCTGCCTGGTCCGCGTGGATTTTTTTTTCTAGTAAAATTTTTCTTTAGGAAAAAAGTCTTTTCGGTGTTTTATGAGACCCTGGACCCTCTAAGATCTCTGTTGCAAGTGTGCCTATGCCTGAAACTAAAAAGTTAAGTTTAAAAGCTCATATTAATATTTTAAGTGACGGTTCTCTCGTAACAAAAAAATTCTACCTAACTTTCTAAATTGTTTTGTTTTAGGGTACGACAAATTATTAGTGCCGAACAGAGAATTCATCAGGCTTGGTTGTGTGTACAAACATTCCACGAAGGGGCTCCAACAAAGGATGCTGTTTTTGGTATGTATACATTTTGCTAAGCTTGCGTATATTGATGCACATAAGTGTTTAAAATGCGTTGATTACCAACGAGGGTGTAGTTCGAGAACCTTAATACACAGAAGTTGGGAATAGCATTTTCTATCGAGGGATACATAGTGCTTAACACTATACCTGCGAGGAAATAAAAAAATAACTTTAATTGAAATTTATATTAAAGGTTTTTCGGTTAGTAAACTTCTGCCTGGGAGCTTTAAGTCAAGAAACCAATGACTTCACGCGTAAAGGTTCTCAATGACTGCTTAGGTAATTTCTTTAAATTGTGGTGGTGTCAATAAATCTTTATTATCAGTAATATACGCCGTCTCGAGTAGATAAGAAAACAAATTAAAAAGTCACTTAATATTAAATAATCAGAGAGCTTCTTACTTTTCGTTCTTTTTTTAAAATTAATTCAGAAATAAAGTTAAATAAATTGATTGCAAAGTCTGTAAAATCATACAGACCACTTTTCGGAACATAAATAAAAAAAAACAGCACATTATCAATGAATTTCCATAGACTTTTCTGCCCGCTCAGCGCATTAAAAATGGATTTCCATACACATTTCCAGACCAGCAGTATTGAGGTTCTTTCAGCTTCATTTTCAAATTGTTTAAAAAATGAAGTTGAAAGCTGAATTTTTTCTTGTGAATAAAGCACTTTCTGAGCAGGTGAAGTGTAAAGAAGATTTAAACGGATTTAGCGATCAAAGCGTATACCGATTCGCGCAAGTTTTACGCGCGATATAGGCTCCAGTTACTTGTACCGTGTATAAATCTTTGCAATAAGCTTAGTGTATATCTGCTGACGCAAACAGCTGCTCTTGCTATATGTATTGTGTACAAGCACTCTTAATCTTTATACTATTTACTAGCGGCCCGCCCTCGCTTCGTTTCGGTGTAGAGCTGAACTGTAGACTACAGTTTTTGTTCTCAGGCTTGTATTATACACAATGACATTAATCTATGATTCTTCTTATACCTTATGAAGGTTTAAAATTGACTCATTCTCTATTTTATCCCCTTGGGGGTAGAATTGATCAAAATCCTTTCTTAGCGGATGCCTACGTCATAACATCTACCTGTATGCCTAATTTCAGCTCGATCCGTCCAGTAGTTTGGGCTGTGCGTTGATAGATCAATATGTCAGTCAGTCTTTGAGTTTTATATATATATATATATATATATATATATATATAGATAAAATATTACCCTGTTTCTCTTGCTTATCGCGCTACTACCTGAAAACGACTTAACCGATTTCATCTATCTTTTTTTTAAAGTTTGCAATACATTATTATAAAAGCTTTTTAACTTTTTTTTTGTTAGTAAATAACGCGCCGCAGTCTTCGCATTCGAATTCTTTATATGAAGTTCTATGCAACCTCGCACACCCACCTGCGTCGCAGTTGCCACAGTCCCTGAAACGACCGAACTCCCCAAGCCGCAGGTGATGACGTTACCAACGCCGGCCCGCACGCAGCGGACGCTGCGGCTAGCGCGGCGCGGATGACGTCATTCGCATCAACTGAATGAATGAAATCAAGTGCGATGCGTGCGGCGACGGGAACGACTGCAGTGGCTGCGGTGCGGATAGATGTGCGAGGCCATTAACACAAAGCGATGACTGCGGGGACTGCAGTGCGGCCAAGTCTGCGTTCATCTATAGGCTTATATATTATATATTTCTTATATTTTCACGCACTCCAATTATTTAATCTTCGCGTTTTCGTTGTCCATGCCAGTTCAGTGACGTGGTGCTGGTGACGACACGCGCGGGTGGGGGCCACTTCCGCACGCACGTCGCGCTGCCGGTGCGGACCGTGCAGGTCACACCCTCGGACCTACCCAACTCCTTCGAGATACACTGTAAATATCGATTTCTAGGAAGGCCAAAGGGGAAGATCTTCCTCCGAGCTGGATGATGGTAACTCGGGGGCCGCAGCCCGACTGATGTTGATCGGGCATCGTATTTAAGGAGTGTTTGGCTCTAAATTTCTCTTGCGCGATGTAGGCTTCCAAATGTTGTGAAAGCAGTGCCGGTAGTGCCATCTCTTGCGGAGGCGAGTGACTATTTCTTCCATGTTGATTATATGTGATATACATGCCCCATGTAGATTTCGCCGCCACAGATTCATACACACTTAAGAGCTGACACGAGCTGAGAGACATTTGAGAAATAGGTATTTGAAAAAGCTTTGCTGTCACGTATTGCCAAATACCTGCATTAGGGACAACAATAGTTAACACTGAAAATTGCGTATACGCAAGAATGTGCAAATTTCGAGGTTAGGCTCTCGACGATTTCCTCCTTGAAAATTAGATATAGGTAAAAAAAAAATTACCCATAGAATAATAAGGTAGTTATACTATTTCTCTATGTTTTGCTTTTTTGTAAATGCTTCTTAAATCTCTACTAGATCTAGATGTCTTCTAGTGATGATTGTCTAGTGGTCATAAAAAAATGTATATTTTTGTAATTTTTGAGGGTTTCTAGTTTATTTGAAATACAACTTATAGAAAAAAGGAAACCATAGGAGCATAGAATGAGTAAAATTATATTTAATGCATGAAAATGAATTCTTTAGAGATAAAAATCAAGGAGTAATCAGCCGAAAACGTTTGTATGGATTAATCATTGCCCGCCTCCCCTTTAATTGTGCCGATTCTGGCATGATTTTCTAAACTTAAAACTGAATTTAACTTCAGCCGCTCCTTTCCATTCTGTATAGAGAATGACAAGGATACACTGTTGTAATGCCAGAATCGATACCGTTATATTGTTACTTTACGGTACGTTTCAATAATCATTTCCACGCGCACGCCGCGCTGCCGGTGCGGGCCGTGCATGTCACACCCTCGGAGCTACCCAACTCCTTCGAGATACACTGTAAATAACGATACATACACACTAAATGGTGTCGATTCTGGCATGGTTCTCTAAACTTAAAACTGAATTTAACATTAGTCCCTCCTTTATATCTTACTAGCTGTGCCCCGCGGTGTTACCCGCGTTTACCGTTTATAAGGGGTAGCCTATGTGTTAATCCAGGGTGTCAGCTAACTCCATGCCAATTTTTTTAAAATCGCTTCAGCCGTTTAGACGTGAAGAAGTAACAAACATACACACTAACAAACTTTCACCTTTATAATATTAGTGTGATAAAACCTATGTATGCACACCTGCCACGGGCAACTGTAGTCACCTTTAACAATATTTATGCTTCTGTGCCTATTGTCACTTATTTTGTCACATCACCTTGTCTATCGTAACTTACTTAAAGTCAATAAACGTTTATTATTATTACTTTCTTTTCTTTATATTGGTTCAAAATCATAGGAAATGCAATACGGTAAATATTATAAAAATAACTAGGTATAATTGAACGCCTTCTTAGTGTGAATATAACATGCAAATCAAAGAATCTTCGCATTCAATTCTACACTAGGTTCAAATCGAAACATCTGTGACTTTAGTAATCGACGATTAGAAAAATTGATATTTGAAGCATACACAATATTTGTTTCCTTCCTTTGTTTAATAGGTGATAACACACACCTGCTAATAAGCGCAAGCAACGAGCAGGAATACTCGGGCTGGTTACGAGCGTTCGACGCGGCTGCCTTAGAAGCGGCTCAGATGCCGCAGCCTTGCGTAGACCTAACACCTGCGGATCATGAGACGGGTAAGCTGTCCTTACTCAGGTCTATTGTCCCTTGGAGCTGTGAAAAAAACAAACTTCTAAGCCAAAGCAATATAAAAAATGCATTAAGCATTGCCTGACATGATAAAAAAACTGGCCAAGTGTGTGTTGGTCTCTCACAGCTAAAATACTTTTTTATTGGTTAAGTTTCGTGTCATCCTTTAGGTACAGTTCAGTACTCTTAAACAGTTCGCGAATCTATAATTTTAGTATGTAATTAAGGGCCTGTTTCACAATCGCTAAGTAAAGCTACTCAGAACTCATCTGCTCAGTAAACAAATAGAGATAATAAGAGAAATAGAGATGTTGACTTTGGTAGAACTTTACTTAGTGATTGTGAAACAGGCCCTAAGGGGCTGTCCATTAATCACGTGAGGCTCTGAAGGTGGGGGGGGGGGGGGGGGGAATACTGTACATTAAATAATGTTCATGAATTAGTACAAAAATGTTAAAAAATGACAAAAAATACGTTACGTGATTAATGGACGGCCCCTAAATCTATAATACCCTATTATAGATCAGGATTTGAAATGTTTTAGAAAACGACCTCACGTTATTGACTAATGTTTATGGAGTCCGTAAAAAGTAAATATTCATAATTCTGTTGTGTATTTAAGTAAAAATAACCAAATCAAAAACTCCATTATCAAGTTGCCGCGAAAATGTTTCGCTGGACAATATGGCTTCTCACTAGTGTGTGACGTCACGCGACTGTTATTTAAACGTCAAACGATACAATGTAATGCCACTTTAACCGGAAGTTTACTTGCGTGTGACGTCATTTTAGACTCCGCCAATCCCAAGCGTTTTGGGTTACGTAACAATAGATAAGAAAACTATTATCTTATTCGTGGGTTTTTAGTAAAATTATGAATATTTTTTTCTGTAAAAATAGTGAAAATCCCTGCAAATATCTATTCTAACCACAGATGCTAACAATTGGCACTTTATTTTTTATACTGTGAACTACCCTATTGTAGTCGGTGAGTAAGTTTCCAGGACTCCACGGGTCAGGGTAGGAACGGCGTGAGTGATATTTTTGATATCGCAAGTGTCTATCTATAGGCTATGGTGCCGCTTATCATCAGGCGGGACATATGCTTGTTTGCCTCCTTTTAATATATAAAAAAAAAACGTAATTATTAAAGATTACGTATGGTTTTTATTGTATTCAGATAGCGGTTCAGTTCCTGTGCAGGGCAGTGGACTATCGCATGTTTGTTGGCATCGCACCGCTTCGCTTTCTAGAGAATTGCTACATCTGTCGCTACAGGTAACAACAATTTACTTTATTGTTATAAGTATTACTTTTCCTTTTACGTTATTTATATGTTTAGACTAAATATAAAATATATTTATCATCTATTAAAACTAATAAAAAAATTAACACATATATTCGATAAATATTTTCAACCATATCAAATAAATTTTTAAATTTATGTTGATTTCAACGCGAGAGTAATATAAATTTAATGATAAGCATTTTGTAATGAATAATTTCACCCACAGGTCCGAATTAATAAAAATATTGACGGTCATTTAACGAGTTGATCTCACTATTCTCCCGTAAACCTTAGAATCATGAGTTTAAGGCTTAAATTTAAATGTAATAAAATGTAACACGAGTGGCGGCCCGTGCCATACGATAAATTCGTGTAAGTAAAATGGATAAACTGTCTTGGTTTCATGCGATGTACGAGTCTTTTCATCTTTTCAACGCATCTTTTCAATTTTATAGTCTACCGAACTGCTGATGATTTCAAAGGTTCGAATTCGCGTGGATCTAGCAGTTTGTTTTGATAATTTGTTTTAATGCCTGAATTTTTGTCAACAGAAGTGACTTAATTTCTTTTTGTTATTATTTGTTGTTACTTATATGATTATGGGTAAATTTCAGTGCTAACTTATATAGTTTAAGTGATTTTATTACGAACGTTTATTAGAGAGGGGTAAAAAAATCTACGTTTAAAAATGCCGAAAGGTAATGCTGAAACTTGAAAAGTTTTCTAAAAGTGCATATCTACAGTCAGTGATACAGTGGCGAGTTGTAAATATTGTAGAAAAACATTGTCATATAAGTTTACTTGTATTTTTTAGTAAAAATATTAATTGATATTATTATTCAATCATTAACTTTTAACTAATATTGAAGTGAAAACTTCTTTAGTATCGTTGTGACTGAGATTCGATAAAACGGAAGTAGAGTATTATATATTCGAGATAGGTATCCGTAATTTTATCATTCATTGTAAGAGACAGCCCAACGCTGTCTCTCGAGGTCGAGGCAAGTGGTCGGTGGTTCGAACCGGTTGGTTGAATTTCAGTAAAAATACTGCTTTCAGATATGCCGCTGATACGTTCTTTTTGTAGTATGTCGTGTTTACCTACGTGTGACGTTACACGGCTAATGGTGTCGATTCTATCATGATTCTCTAAACCTAAACTTAAATTTGACAACAGTGCATCCTTTTCATTCTCCAAACAGAATAAAAGGAGAGACTGACGTTAAATTTAGTTTTAAGTTTAGAGGATCATGCCAGAATTAACACCACTCTCTCTTTGACCGGAAGTTTACCTACGTGTGGCATCCTTTTAGGCCCCGCCAATTCCAGGCGTTTGCGGTTACGTAGCAATAGATAAAAAAGAACATTTCCTTTTTCGTGATTTTTTAGTAAAAACCGGTCCTAATATTCATTTTAAATACAGACACCTACAGCCAACAATTGGCACTTTATTTTTAATACTGTCAAATACCCTATTATAATTGTGTTACACACAAAATGGGAAATGTTTGGTGTCACCATCTTGTTCATAACAAGTACCTGTCCTGACTTTTTTATAAGAAGAGTAAAGAAACTAAATATTTGTCCTTTGGGGAACGCCAGTATAGTTAACAGGTTGTACTTTCGTAAGTTCGTACTGTACTTGTCCTCCACTACAAATTGTCTTTTCTTCATATGGTTATTTATTTGTAAATTTGTCACCAGAATATCCTTATCGTGCTCTTTATGAAATGTCAAATTTACAATTAGCAAACGACGAATAGCCATGTGATGACCTCCTGTAACAGATGCATCAGCAAGTTAGCACAAAACGGTTTTTATCACATATATATTTGTTCAATGGTACAGACGCAGTTATCCGGTTATCTATTACGTAAGTTCAAGAAGTCGCCGGGTTGGCAGAAGCTGTGGGTGGTATTCGCGATGTTCACATTGTTCTTCTACAAGACGTGGCAGGACGACGCGCCGCTAGCTTCCCTGCCTTTACTCGGGTGAGTATTGAATAAGTAACATTACGCGATGTTCACACTGTTCTATAAGACGTGGCAGGACGACTCGCCGCTAGCTTCACTACCTTTACTCGGGTGAGTATTAAATAAGTAACATTACACGATGTTCACACTGTTCTTTTACAAGACGTGGCAGGCGACGCGCCGCTAGCTTCACTGCCTTTACTCAGGTGAGTATTGATTATTTATTTTTCTGTTGTTTTCTTTTAATGTCGATTCGGGCCAAATAATTTTGTTTCGGTGAAAACAAATTACAATTTAGGAGATATAGACACTAGTGCACAGCTTATCCACTTGCAGCAATTTTGCTAAATCTCAATTTAACTAAAACTTCATTTAGTCCATACAAGAGTGTCTGTGTCAATTGACATTGGCGTTTTGACATTTTTCCATGAGTTATAACTAGTTTAAGCTGAATCAATATTAATAAAAGTTGTTGCACGTGGACCTTGAATACCATGAGGTAAATCTAAAAACAACACTGTGAGCTTTGGGGACGCTTATCATGATTATAATAAATATTATAACCTTAAAAGTATTTCGAAATATATATCTGATTTTCGATTGTATAGACTACATTCCCACATTTTAAAAAAAAAAATATTCGCATTTTAATACAATTATTAAACCCTTAAGGCGAAATCTAAAAGTTTCTATTGAAAAACCAATCCAACCTTCAATACCGTAGCAATAGAGTTTATATTCATTAACAACGTAAACTATAACAACCCTTAATCCTGTAGCAATAGAGTATATAATCATCGTCTTCGCTAACCAGGTACGCAGTAGCGCCGCCGTCGCCGGCTGACGGCATCGACAAGGAGTTCGTGTTCAAGTTGCAATTCAAGAACCACGTGTACTTCTTCAGAGCCGACAGTATCTACACATATAACAGGTATGCTATATTTATGTTTTTATTTTTAAGCATTTAACTGTTAGATGGTAAAATCTAAATAAAAAAGACATTGTGGGTCACCTACAATGGGAAGAGATGGCGCTGCCTTGCAGTCTAAGGCTAGAGAAAATTCGACACGGCCGTCAGGGCCGCGGTAGCATAATGGTCAGTGCATTCGCCCGGATAGCGAAGGGTGCGGGTGCTGGTCCGTGTGGATTTTTTTCTAGTAAACTTTAGGCATACTATATGTTTTTATAGAAAATTTGGTACTGAATAATTTAGTTTAACTCGAGCGATTACTGAACTTGACACTTAACGTTTAAATATCATTCCCGTAAACACGTTGAAAACGTTAAAAAAAAAACAAATACACGCGCCATGAATGTAGAAATTACTTTTTGTAACAAACTTCAAAATTATTAAAAACGTTAAGTGTATTTCGCCATCTCTTTTTAGAAACCTATGGTTATCTCGCTTTGCAAAGAATGCGTCCGTGATAGTTAATTAACATTTGTGATAGCGACTACTTAAACAAATATAAAACTTGTCTGTTTGTTATTAGCACAAAATAATTAATACTCTTTTTGCCAGCACTTTAGTCCAGAATTGAATACTTATTTGAACGAACATATTTTCTCATGAACTTCCATTGACTTTGCAGATGGGTGGAAGTATTAAAAACACCGATGGTGCATGAAGATCACAATTAGTATTATTTAATTAAGTTTGAATGTTCAATGCTATTTAATATATACATGTTACAAAAAATATTTATCACAAAACAAACAAAAAATCTTATGATATTAACAAAATATAAAATTTGGTGCCATAGATATAATATATTTTTCGGTGAAAACGATTGGATCCTGTTATCGAACAGTCTTGCCTTTTATGTATGTATATCAAAGATTGTAACACGATGTGCCTTGGTAGCTTAGTGTGGTACCCTCATATTTATTAAGGAATGTGATAAAGTGATATTCTGCCCTCTTATTGTGTAACTTCGACGTGATGTCAATATTATTATCAATCTTGTTAATCGTCCCTACAGCAGGGCCTACAAAAAAATAAAATAAAAAAAAAACAGTCTGAAATATATAGAGAACCCACTAAGCGTGCTTTGTACCGAACAAACGACATAATTTGCCTTCCTAAGAAGAGAAGCGCTACAGTAAAATAATACATTTTGCGTCACCTATCCCTCGATCACCGTTCAGAAAGTTGCTTAACTCCCAACAAGCTCTTCATCTCCATTTAGTGATATAATTTGCTACTGAAAGAATAGTCTCAATTACTTAGCTGCCATTATTAGTAGTTTTTAATAATTATTTATGTATGCATCTTGCTTTGCAAAATTAAAAACGATCGTAAATATTTCGAGTTACACAATAAGACCCTTGTCTCACTAGGTAAATGTTTGTACAAATTCATTTGCCTAGGGGCGGATTATTAGTACTGAAGCTAGTAAATGTTGAATGATTTTACTATTTAACGTGATGTCACACATTAGTTTAAGATATTATATTAAAAGGTATTTGTATTTTGAATTTCTGTTCATGGAAACGAGCTCGTGCAAGCTTTTTCTTCATTAACTAGGGCAACGAGGCTATGCCATGTTGGCTTGACTTACTACGGCTTCGACCAATGATAGCCCTTCTTCTGTGACGCAATTTATTTTCCATCCTTGCCTTTTGTAAGCGATTGTGGGTTAAAGAAAGTTCCACTAATTCGTTTTCACAAACAGAGTGTCAATATTTGTATTGATCAGTGAAATTCATATTCAATCAAAATCGCTCTTAATACCTACTACACAATAGAGATTGTGTCTCATATATGCGTTCTTTTTGAATAAAATTTTAGGGCCCACTTGCACCAAAGTTCTTAAATCAGATTTAAATGCTAATCATCTTTAAAAACCATTCTATCTCAATTTTACTTTTAACAATTGACAAAAATGGAATGATGTGTTAAACAGAATTAAGTCTGAATTAAGAGGAAGAATAATATAGTGGCCTTATAGAAGGCGCAAGTAAGCCGCAATTATGGTGCAAGTGGCCTTTAAAAAAATGTTTATTGATTTAATTTCTAAAGATCAGTTCATATTATATATCGCTGATTATAATTCAGTCAAATACTTGACGAATATCATAGTACAATTTGGTGGTAAGATAATATCAATTAGAGTATACAACGACGTGAAAACAATACAAATTAGTTTTACGTTTTTGTTTATTTTCAATATATTATTATTATAATTATGTGCTGTGTTGTAGCGTCACAATTTATGCCAGTGTAATAGATTAAATGTATAAGTCAGAATTGCAATGTTGTTGGTTTCGAATGTGTGTTGCTTTATGAAAGCTATAATGTGGATGCCGTATTTCAAGACATTACATTTACAGTAATATTAGTTTAAATGGAGGTCTTTCCCATGTTTTAATTATTCAGTGTAAAATTATTGTAAGTTCACATGGAAAATGTATTTAATTGGTTTGAAATTAGATTAAGAAAACTTTATAGAAAATAACATATTGGACAGTTTAGTGGGACCACAGGAAAGCACAATAATTTAGAAAGAATTCTCATTAGGATTGAGCTTACTGTTGTGATGAAAAAAATTAGGCCTTAAGATTAATTAATAAAATCAAGTTTGACGAAAGGAGATTGGTATGTCCGGTTCTGAATGAAAATTGACATTTGGTTTTTAAATAAAACGAAGCTTCAACGGTTTCAATGCGTTAATGCGTGTAATGCGTTTCTTGGCGTTTGGCATCCTTTCCAGGCTGAAAATAAGTTTTAATGATACTATTAGTAATTTTTGTTTAGATAATTTAACATAAGAAGGAGACAATAAGCCTCTCTGAGTTTGTTTCGGCAGTTCTTCTGAGAAAGCTCTCCCAATTTTGGAACTGGTGGTAGTTTACGGTGGCTAGGTCAAATAAATAAACTCAAAATTAAAAAAGAATTAAATAAAGGATGTACTTTAATAATTAAAAATAAAATATTCAATGAAGTATCTGAACGCTCAATAAAAGTCTTTCGAAGGTAGCTCGATAAAGTAAATAAAAATCATAATTCTGACGACGCAGCCTGGAAAGGATGCGAAAGGTCGAGAAACAAATAAATTAACGCATTTAAACCGTTGAAACTTTCTTTTATTTAACGAATGGTGTGTGTGAAGACCTAAAAAACAAATATTAAAGTTTTATTTGTTATAATTCACGCAACACTTAAAAATAAAAACGTAGATGGCTCCCCGCCGCTAGTTTATATACTGTTGAGAACGTTAGGACAACAGATAAAAATACCTGTGGATCTAAATATTACCCCCCAGGTGAATTGTTGGTGGGATCAGGGGTATATAATAACCCAAAATGACATCCAATTTTGCTGCCGTTTTATGGCAATAACATTAAAGGTTTCGTCGATCGAGACCCATTATTCCATGATGGTCATACCTTAATAGTTGGCGCCATCGTTCATCATAATTTTGATTTTGTATCCTCATAATAAAGACTTAATTGGTGTGATCGTAGAGATAAAGGAGTCTGAAGCATACTCATGTCATGTCCATAAGCAATTAAAAGTTAATTTGCAATAATTTGTTATTTATTAACTCATTTGTGATTGATCAAATTTTATTCTATGACGGATATTAAAGTAGGTAGATGGAAAATGGTTTTAACGTATGTTTTATTTCTAGATGATTCGTTAGAGATGTGCTAGATAATTTAGCGCTATCTGCTTGTGCAGCCCTGAACATAGAAAGAAGTTAGATGGGTGATCATAAATAGTTTGTACGAGAACCGATGCCGCCGTATCGCCACCACAACACTTGTACCTAATAGATAATAGCCAATCAAACGACGCGACATCAAACAATCGAACCAATCAACCCGAGAGCAACGGTGCAATCAGAACCAAGTTTTGGTCAAGTTATGATTAACTGCCAACAAGTTCCCTTCTAATCTCTTTCTGTCTTTTGTGTTGGTTGTGCAGTATTGGGTCATAACACACTGACTTCGTGGTCCAAGGAAATGATAAATTAAATATTAGACAACGTGTTTCCCTTACTCTGTATCTATTTCTATTACAAAAATAGGTAGTTTTCTTGCGTGATAGGGCAGTAGTGATAATCAAAAGTTAAGAACTGTTATGGGCATACTCAGATATGTACGTCAAATAAATTTGATGCCATTTAAAGTCACGTATTGTCTTACTTTATTGTTGTGATAAAAATTACAGCAATAATTTGAATCCAGTTAGAAGTTAATAGACGTCACTGAGTACTCCATTAATTCAGAAGGTTAAAATAAAAATAACGAGCCGCACTCTACTGTAATACGAAATCTCTTAAGTCGGGACTCCGAGGATTTACATAAAAACTCGTTCACAAACATTCAACTTTTTTCGCCAGTTCTATGTTACATTTCGCGTGTTGTCTCTTGGCCTTTTTGTATAAGTGTAGGTAGTTTTGCAAAACTTTAGTAGGAAATCGTCTTGGTCTATTTTATTGTTAGTGTAATAATAATTTCTATGAAAATGAAAAATATTATTTGAAGACAGTTCATTACATTTATGTATCTTCTTATGGCTGTGATTATATGCAAATTTTATAGGAAGAACAGGAGCATGATCACACGTCTGAAGTGAAACTTCTTTAGCTCCATCTTTATGTATATATATATGTGTGTACAATATATACATGTATCTACATATACATATTTAATTTACTAGCCATAAGAGAAAGAGTCTCTCACTCTCTCAACTCCCGTTCGCCTCGCCCGAACACACTTTTCGTAACGCGTAACGCATTCGCCTGCTTTCCCCCCAAGTCAAGCGTGCGTTAAGAAGTTTCACTTCAAAGACTTGTTACTGAAACAGTCACTGATAATAATCTAAGCATTGAGATATTGATTAAAACCTAATATAAAAAGAGCCAAAATGATAAATTAATAAATGCTTTTAAAAACTTGGTTGTGGCTACACCGACAGACGCGCAGGATAGACTCAGTGGTTCATTGTCTAATTTTCCGCATCCCTTTCAAAGTTAAAGAGAAGTGTCAATATGACTTGAATATAATCTTTTTAAATCTATATGAGCAGGGATTTCAGAATTAGAAAAAGTTACTCAATTAGGCGGCGGATTTGTAATAAATGTATTAACAAATTGGGAATTTCTGTTTATGCTAAGACATGATATTTTGTATATTAGACTAAATATATATTTTTTATGTTCTATCCCATCTGGTTCTATATTAAACAGTTGTATTATGATAAAGAATTGGAAAACATAATTATGTTATATTTGTAGAAGTATTACAAAAACTAGATGGAATAGTCCTATTATTTGGTGAGTTTCTTAAGAAACAGAACGATCTTTTGATTGGAAGTTATCGGCCGTTCGTGATAGCCTAGCTTCGGTTAGAGACAGATAAGATTTTCTGAAACCTAGATATATTTTTATGGAAAATAGCAATGGTTGCCTAATTACCTATGAGCCTATTTCTTGGGAAGGGGTATTAAGAACGGCCATAACATGGATCGTAATAAGTTTTAATACTTGCAAGTGACATATTTCCAAAGCTATTTTAATAGTCTGTAGATCATATAGTATTTATTACTATAAGTTTCATGTTAAATTCCAGTTTGTGTGTTTGTTTGTAAAACGATTCGCTGAAATTGGAATAAAATACACTATATTTGACTTGATGATTTCTTTTATTTTTCCTATTTGGTATTTTTCAATATATTTAAATTTGGCTTTGGTAACGTATTTTATATACAGTTAAAATAGAACATCTTACTTATAACACAGTTTAAGTATTTATTTAGTCATTTTCAATTTCAACATTTGATCGGGAAAATATGAGATCATATAAATTGTCTTTGGCATATGTTGACTTATATTCATTACATTTCCAGTAATTGACCTAAAACAGATAAATATTGAAGATATATTGTGATAACGTAGTCTTAACATTAAAAGTTTCCTATAAAAATCACAATAGTTAGTGTATAAAATAACTAGAAATACTTTAGTATAATTCTATTTTATATTATAAACAAGTATGTTAGGTATATACACTACACATTTCACTCATCTATTTGCAGAACGTATAAATTCTTTGTCTTCTAATTCTTGAAATGCATTCTTTTCACTCTCTTGGTCCCAACCTTTTCCACAAAAGAATTTAAACGTCCCGATCAATTATTTAGGTTACAATGTTTTTGGATTATATAAATAGTTCACAGATTATAAAGTTCCCCTATATCTACATTGTAATTTACTACAGAGCTAAGTTATTAAATTAGGAAGGAACATACCAGTAACACGTGTTTTTTAATGGCAACTGCGTTTTTTTATTTTTTTTTAGAATAAAGATGAATACTCCCTTCAGCCCATTTCATATTGCCTCTTCTCTCTCACGTTTATTTACAGTTGTACAGGGGGTCGATTCTGACTGCTAAGCTATTGTAAAAATCTTATCTCAATAATGGGGTGCAATAGTAGTTCTTGGTGGTTTTCGTTAACATAACATACATTAATAAATGAATATAATTATTAAAGTAATTTATGATATTTACATGTACCTTGACTTTAGCGAGTGACCGATATTTCAGCACTGGTGCAAGCGCCATAATCACGGAGTAACTAATAATAAGTAACGTCCAAAATCAAAACAACTGAAACACACAATTCTTACTTAGCAGAATTGACACCCAGGGAACACTGCGGCCTACAATGAGCTTCATCAAAAGGGGTTTTTAATTTTCTCAAAAAAAAAGTTTCCCCTTCTTTAAGTAAAGTCATAGTCATACATAACACAATTACATTGTAATTTCATTACCTATCTAGCAAATTTAGTCCTATTTACAATTATAGCATCCTCCTTTGGAAGACTTCTTAGCGTTTAGTTGAATCCCCTTGTTAAAGATATATATTTACAAACTAAGTCCTAATTTTGTGTACAATAAAAATACTACAACAATAACTATACAATTGCTTAAATAAAACATAAAGCATTTGGTTTGTGCTTCAATCATTATTTATGAATAATAGTTTCTCATATTTTCTGCGTCGGTATTTAGCGAATAATACCTGCATATTTATTGGCTTATCTTAAAATCTAATAAATAATACCTAGAAATATTAGGACACAATAATTATTTGAACTAAAATCACATAATGATTTGGTTGAAACTTTGAAACTAAATCATGAATAGCATCTTTTGTGGTTCATTTTTCATTTTGAATGTAATATTATAAATCTTCTATATTGCCTTTAGGCTAGAATGGAAGTGTTATGATTAAGAAAAACAGTACCTTCTTACAGTTCGGCCTCACATATCTTGTCCAGCTAACTAATTAGCCTTTTGACTGCACATTGGATTATTTTAGAATAATATCGCTATCGTTTAGCGTGCGGCCAAACCACTAATTCAGTCAAGAAATGCTATCACACTATACAGGCCTAACTGTACCTACTTTAAGATCAATGTATATGCAACTCTTCAATATAAAATATTAGATATATGAAAATTTTTATTTAAATTAGCTGAGTGTTCATTAGATTCGTAGTCTGTAAGTATCTTCAAACTTGAAGAAGTTATTTCTCAATGTTACATTTGTTGTGTATTCCACTGAAATATGTATCTATCTATACTAATTACTGGAATTACATTCTTGTAGTCATAGCATCACCGTTTTCTTTATGTTGTTCTTCTAACTGCTCTCGACTTCTCTTGTCCTTGCTCCGGCTTCGGAAGAAGGAGGCTGTAGTGACAGATCGGAAGCGGAAGGATCCCGGTGCTCCGTTGGCGATTGAGTTCACTGAACCCTCTTTTGACTGGTCGCGAACTTTAGGCGATTTGTCCCTAGGCCGCGCGCGGTACGAGAAGCTAGCCGCTTTTAATCTTGCTCCTAAAATGTACACAGATCAATAAAATAAAGGAGAAGCAGACGACTTTTTACCGTGGCCCAAGCAAGCACAACACTACTACGCGAAGGTGTTAATTCAGTAAAGTGCGATTTAAACTTTTTCTCCCCTATTAATAAACAAAGATTAAGCTTGGATTAGTTATTACATGTTTTGTCTCTGTCCATTCAATGACAAATGGCATTTGAGTGACATGATCAAAACGCGGCGTAACTAGTCTAAATTTTTTTCTTGTTTATTAATAAGGGGGTATGGCGTTTGTGTAGTTAGTTACAATTGCAGATAGGCGCAGGTTTCAGTCAGTGAAATGTGTATGCGCACCAAAATTTTATTTATTGCGTCACGACTTGGGCTACCTAGTAACTTCACATCCGATATTGTTTGAATCGCGCGATGCACACGCGAGCGGCTTTACACGAAAGTGCATGTGGACGTATGAGCCTCTCACTGTATCTTCGTTTCAAAATGCTCTTGTGGGCTCGCGCGTAAGTCGCGTCATCTGGACAGTTTAGAAGATATACTAGAAAAAAATCGAGTCATAGAGAAAGTATCTAGTCATTATGGTTTCGGTAGCATAGAGGTCAGTGCATGAGTCCTGATAGCGGAGGCCGCTTGTTCAATACCTAGGCCGAGTGTAATATAAGAATTAATGTCTAATACTGGATGGAATTGGGAGCCTGGGCCGCCACCACCCGGGATTCCTGGGTGGTAACGATTGCAGATGCAACCGGGACCAACACCATAACGTGCCTTCCGAAGACAAGAGAATGACTGACCATTTGCGAAAGTTGAATAACTTTCTCGACCGCAGGTCTAATGCGCTAATCATCTATGCCATCGAGCTGTGCGCGGGCGTGGGGATGTTTAGCTCTCCCTCTCCTGTATATATACGCCAGTGTGAGGATGCTTGTAACCTCTTGCATACGTACCGAGCCCCAACTTTGTGGCGCCAGTGTGAGGATGTGCGCGGGCGTTGGGATGTCTAATTCTGACCCTTTCTTTATATATACGAACCGAACCTTAGTTTGGTGGCGCCAGTGTGAAGATGCGTGTAACCTGCTGCATACGTACCGAGCCCTAGCTTGGTTGCGCCAGTGTGAGGATGCCTGTAACCTGCTACATACGTACCAAGTCCCAGTTTGGTGGCGCCAGTGTGAGGATGCTTGTAACCTGCGGCATACGTACCGAGCCCCAGCTTGGTGGCACTATTGTGAAGATGCCTGTAACGTGCTACATACGTACCAAGTCCCAGTTTGGTGGCGGCGGGGAGGGGCGGGGCTATGTGCGCGGGCGTGGGCGTGTGCGGGGCGGACGCGCTGCCCACCAGCGGGGGCGCCATGTCCGGCCGCCGGACCACCATGCTGCTGGCGTGCGGCCGGATGCCGAGTTCCAATTGGTCTACGTCACTCCTGCCAAATATAGAACATGCTACAAATTGACACATATCATAAGGGGAAGGGGGCACTCATAGCATGTATAACCTACCCGTATAATTTAACATCAAAAAAGGCAAACACAATCTATCAAGCGCCAGTAAGAGAATCAAATCTTTGAAGTCGGAAATATTTTGAACTTCTTAGTTGTTAAAAGCTATCGTGCTATTGGGCTAAACGCGATACTTTATTTGGTGGAGAGACCCAATATTTTTTTAGGTTAGTTTGCAAGCCATACTTTTTTATACATATTTTTTTTATTACAATATTTGACAATTTGTCTCTTTTGTTAATGATGTTCTGCCCGTACTCGAAGCTGCTATTTGGTACAGCCAGGGGCGCGTGCAGAAGTTGGAAAGACAAAGTAAAGATAAAAGTTTACAAGGAAGTAGGAATTAAAGATAGAAACTTTTGCTACAAAATATGTTTTCCTCTTAAACTAAGAGGGATGTGATAGTTTCATCACGGTAATATTATATAACCGTGGTTTCATGTACCTTAAATGACCGTGTCTCGTTCGCGTGCGTCGCAACTCGGAACGATGTCGCGTGGTGCCGCGAGCAGAGCCACCGTAATGCATACTGCCACCGCGGCTTGCAGCTGAAAGAATGTAAATTACTCAAATATTCTTAAGCGATACTAAGTGGATTTCCATTACGGATAGAGTAGGGTAAATATTATTATCTGAGTGGATACGTTTTTAAATAGGGATGATGACTAATTTTTTTTTCGTTTATCAGTTTAGATTATCAAAAAGTGTTGGACACGTATTTTTTCTTTTTTCACACAATATAAACATTGCAGAGATATATTCATTTGAAAAGTCGCAGGACGTCACGTTTTTAGTACACTTAAGTGAAAATTCACTAAAAAGTGACGTCACGAGCCCCTACTCCCAAACTTTGACGCTATAACTTTGTCATTTTTTGGTTGATTGCCCAAAGAAAAAAATAATAAGTGTCCATTATTTTTTGATCATCTTACTGACGGACTAAATAGAATTTCGTTTATTGTACCCCGTCATCACCCCTATTTCCTCCGTCATATAGATGAAGTCCAGTCGTGAAGATCGCTTCCTGCGGAATAAACCTTGTGTTTGGGTAAAGAATTTCATTACTACATAGTATGATAAAAAAATGAGTCATCAAATCTCTTGAGTGCTGACTGTTAGTCACACAAAATTGTCATACAAGTGTTACAATTGGCTTGTTCGTTTTGAAACCACATTAAGTCAGTGAAAACAGCAACGTAGGCCAGCACGCGTGATTGCTTCTAATGAGAAAAGGACAACACTTGTCGAGATTACTCCCACTGCACTGTAATAGTATGAAGATCAAGGATGGTCAGGTGGCATGGTAGGTAATTTCTAGGCGTGGCGGGAAACCTTGTACTATGCGATTCAACTAAGAATAGGACCGACTGGGCGCCATATTTTGACATCATAGCTGTCAATTCAAACCAAATAGGTAGAGTGAGAAAAAAGTTTCTATTTAATAAAACCTATTTACTAAGATTAAGTGAGAAAAAATATCAGACTTTTTGATAAAATTAATTTGCTAAGATTGAGAAAAAAACAACCGATTTTTAATAATATTTCTTTATTAAGAATGTGTGAGAAAAAACATTAATCAGAATCTAGCTCTTCAATTCCGCTATCTCTCCATTACCGCCGTAGTAGTTTTGAATAATCATGCAGGTTACATCCTATATGTAAACGAAAGTTTTAAATCGAGTTTCTGAATGCAACATAAGTGACCATTGGTTGACGATTTAGGTTATCAACCATTCATAGCCAAAGCTCGATTGAAAAATAATTTCAACCAATATTAATTATCAATATTTGTTATTGTTTGTTTAAAAATGTTTGGTTTTTATTCTAGAAGCCGAGTTTTTTTTGCAAACTGTATTTTTCAAGCCACATTTGACAGATGGAGGTCATTGGCTTTCCTATTCTTATTTGAATCGCACTATACTGAGAAGAACCAGCAAGAAACTCAGCAATGATTATATGGCCGTCGTTGGGTGTTCCGTCTTGTTTTGCCTGCATTGGAGCTTTGACGTCGGGGTCTTCGTATAGTGTGTGTATGTGTGTACCTGCAGAGTTGACGTTGTCCAGCGGGTGCGTGTAGATGCGGTGGCGCGTGTGCAGCATGTGTACACGAGCGGGGCGGGGGCGGGGCGGTCCTCGTATAATGTGTATGTGTGTACCTGCAGAGTTGACGTTGTCCAGCGGGTGCATGTAGATGCGGCGGCGCGCCTGCAGCATGGTGTACATGATCGAGACGGGGGTGGGGCGGTCCTCGTATAATGTGTGGGTGTGTACCTGCAGAGCTGACGTTGTCCAGCGGGTGCGTGTAGATGCGGCGGCGCGCCTGCAGCATGGTGTACACGAGCGGGGCGAGGGAGCGGGGCGGTCTTCGTATAATGTGTATGTGTACCTGCAGAGCTGACGTTGTCCAGCGGGTGCGTGTAGATGCGGCGGCGCGCCTGCAGCATGGTGTACACGAGCGCGGCGAGGGAGCGGGGCGGGGGCGCGGCGGGTGCGGGACGGGCGGCGCTCCCTCGGTCGCGCGTCACCCACCACGTGTGCATGCGCCCTTTGCCCTTCACTTCTACCCCGCCGCGGCCTTCCAGCTCATAGCCGCGCTTTTCCAGCAGCTGGGGAAATACATATTTATAATGTCCACCTCATTATGGCACATTTACCGAACTATTTATCGAACTCCTCATGACGTTGTCTATCCCTATATTTTTTTCTCAAAGTGTCGCCTATTCTGAGGTCCCGAGTTCGAATTCCGGTAGAGGCAATCGCTTGTATGATACGAAAATTTTTATGTTGGATATATACCTGTTTCGTGTACTTGGTAACTTGTATCCGGTCCATGAGGCCGGTGCTCTCCATCCTTGATGCCTCATTGACGGTGTTCCCCCAGATGTCGTACACGGGTTTGCGAGCGCCGATCACGCCGCCCACTAGCGGCCCGCAACTTATTCCTTCAAAAAGCATTCACCAAATGAGTGTCCATAAAAGTGATTGCTAACAGAACTGTCGTCTACAAACTAATTTCTAGAGAATATTATGACTTTTATAAGTGATAACACTTGCATTTTCTTTATGGTGATATTTAAAGCCTTCGATCGCGTAGATCACGTGATCCTGCTAAACAAGCTAGAAGTGCTTGGTATCCATGGGGATTTGCTCCGTTGGGTAAAATCTTACTTAAAAAATCGATCCCAAGCGGTAGTTATGAGTGGTTATCGCTCTGACTACGTTAGTATACCTACAGGTGTTCCACAGGGCTCACACTTAGGGCCGCTCTTCTACAATGCTTACCTCTACGATATAGGTTCATGCTTAGAACATTCTAATTATCTTATGTATGCGGATGACAAAAAGATTTTTTGTCGAATTAAGACTGTTCAGGATTCACTGTTGTTGCAAAGTGATCTGAATCGCTTATCTGAATATTACAACAATAATAATATAACCGTCAATACAGCTAAATGTGAATGTATCTCGTTTACAAGGAAGAGAAAGCCTATTGTCATAAATTATCATTTTAATGGACAAAATATTATCAGAAAGTCGATTATTAGGGACTTAGGAGTACATTTTGATCAAAAAATGATACTTTCGGATCACATTGAAAGCACAGTTATGAAGGCGTATAGAAATCTTGGCTTTGTACTTCGAGTGTGTAAGCCATTTTCAGAAATATCGGTAATCACAACAGTTTATTTCGCATATGTAAGAAGCATTTTAGAGTATGTGAGTCCTATATGGTCTCCTCAATATACTACCTATATTAACCGCCTAGAGAGAATACAGAAAATGTTTGTCAAACATATAAGCTTTCGCTGTAGAAAAACCTTTAACAATTACAAGGATGGTTGTTCTGAGCATGGTCTTCTTTCATTAGAACAGAGGCGTGTTATATTGGATATGGGTCTACTGCATGACATTGTTAATAGTAAAATTGATTGTCCACATCTGATAGCTAAAATAAATTATCGTATTCCTAAATACCGAACCCGCAATACAACCGTTTTTCAGGTTCCACCGTGCCGCACGAACTATCTACAGCACTCAGTTCTGCTGCGACTGGCTCAAACTTATAACCAATATTTTAATAGCATCGACATCTTATCAAATAGCAAGGAAAAATTTAAAATGGAAGTTGTTGAAACACTAAAGGGAGTCTGATCAGTGAGTGCGTTAGTGTAGAAATGTGAAGGTATTGTTTTTTTTTGCAGTGAAAGTGTGTGTGTGTATCTGTGTCTATGTATAATTATGTGAATGTGTATCGTATGTATAGGAATGTGAGTGTGTATATGTATTAATGATGTCTTTCTTCATTTAAAAACTCCTTGGAGTTGCTTGTTTGTTCATTGTTTGTATATTGTATTTTTATTTTTATGTTTTCATGGCTGTTACTTAATTTATTTGTTGTCATATAAATTAATCATCTTCGATGTACACGTACTATTTTTAAATTAAGGGAAACCTGTAATTGGCCATACTTACCTGTAAAATACTATCTGGTATCTGTTGATGTATACGCTGTTGGTTTTCTTAATAAAATAAAATAAAATAAAAAATAAAGCGAGATTTTTAAAGACAACGAAAGCCTCTATCACCTTTCGAAATGAAGTTTTGGCAAACTAACTCACTACAAAAACATAAGACAACAGAACAATACATATTTTTAAAACTACAATTACAGTGGAATGTTTGCCGCGTCATCGATACCACTTTCCACAGAAGATATATCTAAGCACCTAGGTACATGTGTTTCGCTCCTCTATGGGATATCATTAGAAAATATTACTATGTTAACTTCCAATGGAATACTTACACCCACTACCCGTTATGTGTAAAGCAAGAATGTGGAAGGAGACAATTATTTAATATCCTATTCCAAACAGATGACCGTTTGTTGATTTGAAATATACGGATGATCATTCCAACACAAATAAAACTGGGAAACAGCTAAGGAGTATAGCAAATACACATCGACGTTGGTAAAGCAAAATCGCTTAAACGCCACTTCAGTAACTTTACAGAAACGAGGATCAAAGTACAACATACTTAACTCATTGTAAAAGAGAAGTAGCGCCATTAAAATAAAAACTTATTCATAAAATAATATTTTCTAAATATCCTATCCCTATAAAAAAGTTACATGTGCCTTTACGTTTAGATGTTGCTTAAGTTAAAATCACTCAGCCTGCCATATTTTTTTTGTCAAGAAAAATCAAATAGTAGGGCGTTTATGCCCTATACCCTATATGATGCCATTGGTTTAAAAAACACCAATATTTATGTCAGTTTAGCGTTGTGAATAATAAAAATCTTCAAAAAATTTAGTTGCTGAGGCGTCAAAAAAGTACTCAAACCTTCATGACATATAAACAGATCGACGCAGTAAAAAAACTGATCAAAATGATATAATAACTCATTTTCGACCAATGTGGCGTATAAGCGATTATTATTACGAGCCTTTCCACTGTCGACATGTAAATATCTAAATATTCACTCACCTACTCTTAATCTGAATTTGTTGAAGCTATGTTTATTTATTTCTTCTAGTGTTTCCTTTAATGCGAATGCGTAGTCTACCAGGGAGCATAGGTGTTCGCAGTCGTCTTCTCCCGTCTGTAGAGTGAGTAATAGAATTACATACACTTTAATTCATAAGACGTGATTAAAGCCAGATTTTAACTCCTAAAGATTCTTCTAAAAATTCTAAAGGCTTACCTTTACTTTTACCATCAATTTGGCAGTTAGGGGATTTCTTCTAATTTATCTTCATAACAGTCAAAATAATGTATTCAAATTATCATAAACAAATAATAGAAGTTCATATGAACAATAACCTACTCTAAGATTGGGGTCGAGACCGGAAGCGGCCATATATGTTGCTCCGATGGTCTTGATCTTTTCTATGCTCTTGAACCTCGGCTGCATCAGCAACTTATCAAAATCAACTGGTGACAAAGAGTGAACTCCATTATTTCTGTGTTTAACTGACTCAACAATAAATCTTCTAATTTGAAACATTGAAAGAGTTCTTTTTGGGTCCGACAAAAATTAAATGACAAAGGAACAGTGGCATCTCGATGCTGAGTCTACAATAAAGTGAATCTGCTGATAAATTCAAAATCTGCTCTAAACAGATTCCATAAATATTCCCGAAACTAAAACAAATAAAAAAGAAAGTTACTTTGTTGCCTGTCTGTTCCATTGTCACGTCTAAACTGCTGAACGGGTTTCAAAGACAATATTGACGGTATAAACTGAGAAATCTATCAAGAAAATAGTAAAAAATCATTGCGGAAGATGCGGGTTTGGATGTCTGAAACCTGGATCAAGTGGATTTATATCTAGTATTTTTTTTCTTAAAAGATCATTGATTTATTCATAAGAATTGTGTGAAAAATGTCGTCTGGTTTGGTACATTACAAATGATCTCGTTCAGCAGCCGCATGCAGTCGATGGCCTTCTGCTCGGAGTAGAACTCGTGGAAGTTCGGGATGCCCGCGAACATCACGCCCACCTCGTCCCGCCACTGGGAGTACAGCTCCTGGACATGGAATTGTAACTATTGTAAACTATAGTTTGTATGTGGAGAAATGGCACTTATAGCTTACGTTTCGTTTTTTTAACAGCACTCTTTGGTAATTTACTGATAATTCTTTTCGGAAAACAATTATGGGCGTCTTTATTTTCCTTAGGAGCTTCTTCAGACAGACATACAAATCCGGTATTGAGGCTCGGAGAGTAGGGTTCAGTGAAGAAAGCTGATGTGGATTGGGCTATGTATTTAGTTATTGAAAAGTCTAGAGACATGTCGATGCGAGAAATCGTACCTACATATTGACAAGATTCATAACTTTTTTAGAATTTTAAAAATTACAGTTACCTCTCAATTTGAGCGAGAGCCCATTTAGAATATTTCAAAATGCGCCACAGTTGGATCGGCAGGTATGCAAACGGGCTGAATGTAAACGGGGTAAAAGTGGGCGGTGTATTGGTGAAACTCAACAATTAGGCCGTCCCTGATGAGGAAGTGGTGCGCGACGTGGTCGGGCGAGATGTGCTCAAGCAAGTGTCGGTTTGTTCGATGCATGTCCTCCACCTGGTCGCGGTCTCTATGTGTGTTGTTGTCTCTCTCACTGCATGCGTGTGTCTCACTCACGTCCGGGCAGCCGTCCCTGCTGAGGAAGTGGTGCACGACGTGATCGGGCAGGATGTGCTTGAGCAGGTGGCGGTTGGTTCGTTGCGTGTCTTCCATTTGGTCGAGATCGGTTTCAGCCTGAAGTCTCCACAGGAAGTCGAGGCGTGCTGTCACTTCTACCAGCCGCGCGTGGTACACAACCATCACCAGGAACATTATCATCAGGATCAGCATTTGCACGTAGAACTTGAGAGTGCTGTTTGAAAATAATATAAATATGTGTGTAAAAAAAATGCCATTATATAAAAAACGTACATTTTCTGTTGCTAGCACTTCAAATGGCTATTAGTTTTTGGTATTTGTAAATTTTGCAGTAGTATATTCTCATCATTCTCCAGCTAGAAATAAAGGAGTGACTGCTGTTAAGTTTATAAATCACCATCATCATTAAATTCCTGTCTTTATTGCTAGACCAAAGGTCTTTCCTATAAATGGAATAGGAAGATAGGGCTGCGACCCACCACGCTCGTCTAGTGCTAGTGCACACGACTGCAGACAAAGCCAGAAGTAATGGCTTCCCGTGCTTCTGAAGCACAGAGAAGTTTGAGATAATACATTTTTAGTCAGCCATCTTACGACCATTGCGGCAGTTGTTTAATTTGCAAAATCACATATCAATTGCGCCAACGACTGCGTTTAACTAAGTTACTCAAGCCAAGTTTACAAATTACAAATACATGTAGCCATGTGAAGTACCGTGTCAGCATAAAAGACACTCACGTGTTTGTAGTGCCATTGATGTAATAGATGTCGTAGTAAATCAGCAAGAGCACTGTATACATGGCCACGTTAATTATAGCCAGGAACGTCTTGATCAGGTAGTACAACTTCAGGATAGATGTCAGAGCCACCAAGCACAGAATCCAAGTGAAGACCACGTATTCAGGTCGGTAACATTCCTCTAAACGATGAGGTGGAGTGGTGTTTGTGGCGTTTGGGTTAGTACTAGTGAAGTTCGCTGATGTGGATGTACAGTTGAAAGCGCTTAGGGGGAAGGACGAGTCGCACGCGTACAGTTTTGTTGTACTGGAAGGCAACGAGTTGATCAGTAGAGAGGTAGTTATAGATAAATAGACTGATAAACGTCTTTATTGGTCGAACATAAGACAAAGTTGATCGGTACAGGTATATACTTATAGATAGATAAATAAATATTTCCAACACTAACACCAATTAGTATAGCACTGTAAGGCTCGTGTTATGGAGATACTAGGGTAACAGATAGAATACATATACTGATACGTATATATAAGTATATTAATATAGAAATACATATTAAAGATCCATGACTGGAGTACAAATGCTCGTATTCATCACACAAACATCTGCGCCCACCGGGACTCGAACCCGGGACCCTCTCGAGTCGGCGACACCATAAATCCCGGCGTACAAACTACCACTCGGCCACAAAGGTCGTCAACATATTGTCAAGATGACCACTTTATAAAAAAAACTATTTAGATGGAGAGCTTATAGACTTTTATCTATGTGGTCAAAGACAGTCTTTTCACTAGAAGCTACTTATCTCATCAATGACTTAGAGGAATCATTATCATAATCTTGGTCCATGGTCAGCTAATACAAATCTGCTATCATATTGAGGGTGAAGATTGACGAGTTTGATTGAGATACTGATAGTTTAAGGAACTAATTCCTTTGATTGTTATTGTGAGTTGTTGTTACTAAGAGACTCAGCATCATCCATTTTATTTACTAGGCCTTTGTAAGATAGTAATTAAATTTGGTATTATTTCATTAGGTGTACCTACAAAGATTTTATTTAAAGCGGCTTTTAAAATAGGCAAATATAAAGCTGAAATCAAGCTAAGCGGAGCACATTATTTGAAAAAGTCTTTTTACTTAAAAGCTTCCCTTTTACATCAAGTGAAGTAATTTACTGCGCCTTCTATAAAGACAATCATCTGTTCTCAAACACATACCTAGAAATCGACATCACCGTGACGAAAATGGAGATGTGGATATCTCTGTGAAGCCGCGAGCCGTTCAGTTTCGCTGAGATCTTGGCCAAGTGCGGACATATTCCGGGGAACTCTTCCGCCATCACCACCACGAAGGAAAGCGTAAGGAGGAAAGTCATCACCGACAGGATGATTATCAGGGAACTGCAGCTGGGGAAAAAGAGAAAATCGAATTACAAATGTAATAATACAATAATAATACAAGTCAACATGCTGCACGCTCTACCAAACTGTCGGTTCCGGCTGCATCTGCAGTTGTTAGCACCCATTCTATCACTAGGTGCAGATGGTAGGTAATGTCCAAATCTATTTATTAATCCATAGGGAAGACATGTGCCCGAGCCGTTAGGACATTAATAGTCTATCTTGATTATTTGTAGTACATGAATAAACTCTGCATGGAATTCGATTTGAAAGTCTTCGGTAGGCACGTTAAGTAGTGTCTGTTCCGTGGCTACATATGCAATGGTGGGTTCTGACCCGATCTCCTTATTCCATCCGTTGGGACTGCTTTTGCCCTAGTAGTGGGGACATTATTAGGCTGACAATGATGATGATTACTTGTTATGCATGAAGCATTGAACCGCAGTGATGAACAGCAACAGCACGAGGCAACACATGGCGTTGGAATTGAAAGTCTTCTCGTCGAAGCTTGCCGGAAGTGAAGCGACCACGCCGCCATGTTGTCCCCGAGCATGACGGGGACATTATAGGCTGATGATAATGATTACTTGTAGTACATAAAGCATTGGACTGCAGTGATGAACAGCCACAGCACGAAGCAGCTCATGGCGTTGGACTTAAAATTCTTCTCGTCGAAGCGTGCTGGAACTGCATCGATCACACGGCCATGCTGTTCCCGAGCATGACGGGGACATTATAGGCTGATTATAATGATTACTTGTAGTGCATGAAGCATTGAACCGCAGTGATGAACAGCCACAGCACGAGGCAGCACATGGCATTGGACTTGAAGGTCTTCTCGTCGAGCTGCGCGAATCGCTGCTCGAGCGACGCGCGCCGGAAGTGAAGCGACCACGCCGCCATGTTGTCGACGCGCATGCGCCGATTGCTGCTAACCTCGATCGAGTGGTTTATTATGTCGTCCTCCTGATAACGATCACGTTAATATTGGAGAATGTTTTTTTTTATAAGTAGGTGCGACAATGACTCTACCCCACCTGATGTTAAGTAAAGCCTTGATGACACGGGGCGAGTTTACAAGCTGCTAGCAAACTCGCTGGCTTGTAGCTTGTAAACTCGCCCCGTGTCATCGAGGCTTAACGGTAGAGTTCAGACGCGAAAACAGCTGGTACAGCAGTGTTACCTGCCACACCATCCATCCTCACCTTACCCGCCGGCATATTTCTTCTTCATGCCTTTTTTAAAGGATCCCGGTTGTAAGAGGCAGGGAACGCGTAATTGGGTTTTCGAATCAAAAAAAGATCGTGTTTATCTGTCAATGTCGGTGAATAAAGAGAACATTATAAGCATTCCTAGCGCTCGAAAAGCACCCAACGTAGATCGTTCCACGTTGGACGCGGTTTGCGAGTTCTGCCACGAAAGGTTGTATGTTACTGTGTTTGTTTGCTTCTCACTGAATCACGCAAAAACTACTGAACAGATTTTGATGAAAGGACATTGCTCAGCTTCCATACATGTTTGGTCTTAAGACCAATAATCATGAAAAATTGTTCCCTAGATTCGAAATTATATATAAATTCCTGTAGAAACGAATATTATTGACGGACACCCCTGAGAACTTCTATAAATCATATACACTGAACATATTAAAATAATAAAAAAACAAACAAGTTATATAGTAAACTAGGGAAATCATGCCAAGTACCGAAATTATGGATTAGATTCAGGTATATAAAGCATGTAGATTAACAGATAGTTGCCTGTTTTTAAAGTTAATGCATAAGAGTAACTTTTAAAATTAAGTGTCATTTCCGGTTATAATAAGGTACTCTGTGACAGAAACTATGTGATGATTGTGAATGAGCCACATATTAGAGAGAATTTTTAAATTCTCGTTAACCAAAGAAAGCTAAGAGATTTAGGTTCTATAACCATATATTCAGTAGCTTCATTATTTTTGTTATGTTTTTAAGATAACCATATTTTAGATTTTTAGTGTATCACACCTTATAATTTTATTTATTTATTAATTTATAGTCAGGAAACGTAGGCCCATAGATCCTTAGAGAGACCTTAAAGTCTAATATATAACTATATAGATTATAATGTGTAAATGGAGGTGTTTGGCGAAAAATGTATGGCAATAGACTTTATGATGTCGCCTACCATCTATAATAATTGTCTGAGCACATTTGCATCTAGTGAAAATGATTATATTAATACCACAGTGTAATAAAAAAATCATTTGTTTTATCGATCTTTACAAAATAGATTTGTTTTTATGTTATATAAACAAACTTCGATCAGTCTTTGGCTGAATGTTACTACACCCATAGCCATTAAAAATGATTCGTATGTTTTCCAAACCGGTAAAATTAAAAGTCCTTTTTAAAGTAAATATATTATACAAAGGTGTCCGTTGAAATCTAATGTCTGTAAATTAAATTATAAATTACGCCAAGAATTACCGTGTATGTCAATATTTTTTGTGCATTTGGGCCAATTTGAGCAATCTCCTTTGGTACGCAAAATATTTTTTGTTGAAAATGTTAGGTTAATGAAGAGTTTTCAAAAAGCTAAAGTTAAAGCGGACGAAGTTGCAAGCAGCCGCTAGTAATATAAAATAGTAATTTGTATGTAAATAGTACCTCGACGTCAGATAACGGCCCATCGGTGTCGGGTGCGGGGTCGCTGAGGCGGTCGGCGTGCAGCCCGCGCGCTCTCACTACGCCCGCGACGCTGCTCATGTAGTACTGCACAAATACACAAACATACAGGTCGCGGCCGGCACGTAACTCTAGCGCAGAACAAAACGTGGAGGGGATAGTTGCGCTTGGGAACAGCCCTCTGATCGTCTAACGGCATTGCTATGGCTATCGCTATCACTTACGAAGTCATTTTATTGTTTCTGACAGCCTAAGGTCGTTAGTCCGTATTCGGGTGCACGAAAGATCTTACTTAAATTCGGGCACTCGAAGCAATACTTACACTGGAATACGTCCTGGAAGACGGTGTCGGGTAAACAAAAGGAAATCTACCTGTCGTGTACGGGTGTACACGACTCAATTCATTTACACTTATAAGTCGTTCACCCGAATTCCATTGACACTTTCGCAATGGCCGGTCATTGGTTGGGTGACTAAAAGTTAATTATTTCAAACCCTTCCGTGCTTAAGATGACACGTTAAGCCGTTGGTCCAGGATGCATCTGCAGTCTTAAACACGATATTTGGTCACAGCTCTATCCAGGGGCGTATTTACCCTAGGCCCAAGAAGGCCATGGTCGTCGGCAGGCTGCTAGAAGCGGCAAAGGCGTTTATAACTGACCTATATTTTGATTTGAAGAGCGCCAGATTTAAACGCCCCTGGCCCAATCTCCCTATTCCTTCCTTAGTCTAACCCAAAGTTTATACTTTGGATTGATATAAGCTATCTTACGTTTTGGAAAGGCAACTCTGGTGTCCAGTCGGTGGTCATTTCATCCTCGACGATGCTGCTCGAGCGGCGGTTGATCTCGTTCTGCATCTGCAACTGCTGGCTTCTGCGGGTTGAGAAGAAGATTGTTTTTATATCATCAATATATTAAATAAAACTAGTTTTTACGGGTTAATGCACGAAACTTTATTTATTTATTGACGTTTCGCAGCCTTTTCAGGTCTGCATCGTCAGAATAATGATTTTTTATTTAAAATTGTCGAGCTACCTTCGAAAGACTTATATTGAGCGTTTGGTTATTTCATTGGAAGATTTTTAAAATTTTATTGTCTATGTATGAATTTATTATTTAATTTACTTAATAAAGTATTTTATTTAAAATTCTTGTTTGTAATTTTGAGTTTATTTATTTGACCCTAACTACCGTAAACTACCACCGGTTCCAAAATTGGGAGACCTTCCTGAGAAGAACCGGCGAAACAAACCTATGAAATCTAATGTAGTGGTTTGGTCCCCCTAATGCATGTTCACACACTGCAGATTTATTTTCGCGCCTATGTTTCATATCTGCGATATGTTCTTTTACCCGAGTCCCTATACTCCTCTTTGTTTGCCCGATGTAGGAGAGCCCACAGTCGCATTCAAGTTTGTAGACACCAGCCACATGCGTGAAAACCTAAGAAACAAATATCAATATATTATATTATATTATTTGGGCTAGCTGAGCGGGTGTAACAGCGCACCCATAAGTTGACAAAAACAAGAAAAGGTGTTCCCCCCCCCCCCCCGGGTTGTAGAAACCACCTGGCGTTTATATTGAGCTAGATACAGTCAATACAAAATACATTTTTCTTTGTTTATTTCTCACCCTACCTTCCTGTGACTGGTGGGTCTTGGTTGCTCCGTGGTCTTGATGAGCTGCCCCCGTCACCAGAATCCACCTTGAAGGCGTCTTCCAAGCATAATACGATTAAAACTTGATAAAGGCTGTGAAATTTGCAGCAAGCGCAACTATGCGCAGGCCTCAGTTCAGATATATCCTGCGCGAATCCACATCACCCTACATTTCGTTTACTGCGCCGCGTCTTGCGCCAAATTCATAGCCACCATTAAGTTTGAATCCCGCGATAACATAGATTGTAGAAATTTTCTTGGGTTATTTCTCACCCTATCTTCCTGTGCCTGGTGCGCCTCGGTTGCTCCGTGGTCTTGATGAGGTAAGTAGTCAGGTTATGTTCCCTTAGATAGGGGTTACGGCTACCTCCGTCGCCAGGCTCAACCTCGAAGGCGCCTTCTAAATACCCAAGCGTTGCTGAAGATATGTGGACACGACTGAAATGAATGACATAGAATATGATGATAACTTAATGTACGCGACGACAAACATAACGTTACGTGATAATAGCTAATTATTATTCCTAACTCCAAATGAATGAGTGACAAAAAAGGAAAAAAGAACTTAAGTAAAGTAGGTTCATGGAATGACGGATTAGCACAAGACCTATTACTAGCTAGATCCTTCATCGATCTTCTAAGATTGAACGTAAAAAGGGCATTATATTTACCCTGGTAACCCGCCGCTCTCCATGTGGTTGGCGACGGTGACGTCATGCGACCACAGATCGAACTGCCACTTGAGCAGACCCAGCACGCCGCACAGCACTGTGCCGCTGTGGATGCCGATGCGCATGTCTAGATCCACCTGCAAATGTCATGACCATCTTATTGTGCGCTGTATGGTAAAACATACAACATAAACATGCTTATATTATTAGGTCGTGCATCAGCAGTTTCGCAATCCATTGTTTCCTTGCATGATACCGCAATTATATTTGGTCGTTAGCCCGTATTCGGCTGCACAAAAGACATTCCTCGAAATCGGACATTCGAAGCAATATTAACACTGGAAGACGGGCTGGAAGAAGGCTTCGGGTAAACAAAAGGAAATCTACCGGAATACGGGTATACTCGACTCCTTCATTTACAGTTAGTCATTTACCCAAATTATATTGGCACTCGTATTCGGGTTACGACCAAGTGTAGGTAATCGCGCTATTAGTTTTATATCATAAACTCAGTTCGCAAGTACCATACTTTTAATAAACATGCGTCCTTATCATTAACATAGCATTATAATTAAACAAGTTTATTTTACGTATTTTGCGATTTGCAATAAAACACTTGAATTCAGACTTTCCATCATTTCTTATTATCATTTGTCAAAGAGTACATACAGCTCGGCCCGTACACCTATTAATATCTCTACTGCTAGGGCATACGCCTTCCTCTCTTGAGGCATTTCATGTCCTATCTGTGATGATGACTGAATTAATCCACATGGGCGTTGCGTTATGTGTCAATGGCCTAGTGGAGGGCTGCAGTACTCACCTGCGCGTTGTACCACACGCCCCTTATGGTGCGGATCATGTGCAGCCCCATGTTGACGCTCCGACAGCCGCTGGCATAGTATCAATGACCTAGTAGAGGAGTGCAGTACTCACCTGCGCGTTACAACGGGACGTTAAACGTACGTATGGCGCAGATCATGTGCAGCCCCATGCTGATGCTCTGCCAGACGCTGGCATTGTGGCAATGACCTAGTAGAGGAGTGCAGTACTCACCTGCGCGTTGTACCGCATGTCCCGTATGGCGCAGATCATGTGCAGCCCCATGTTGATGCTCCACCAGACGCTGGCATTGTTTCAATGACCTAGTGGTGGGGTGCAGTACTAACCTGCGCGTTGTACCGCACGTCCCGTATGGCGCGGATCATGTGCAGCCCCATGTTGACGCAGCAGTGCGCGTGGTCGTCATGCGCTTGCGGTAAACCGCTCACGCAGAAGTAACAGTCGCCCAGCAACTTTATCCTCAAGCAGTTGTTCTCCTGGATAAACGTGATTCGTTACTTTAGCAGACAAAGAAATGAGCGCTCTTTTTGATTTTTAATGAATGCCCCTAGTATGATCCGCCACGATAGATATTCAAAGTACTACAGAGTTTGAATGTTTAACGAAGTAATTTACGCGTTAATATATACAACGTGATGTTCATACTATGGGGACTAAAAAAAGTTGTAATAACCAACTCATTGCAAATTACTTACTTCCGTAGAGACTACAAAAGTGTTCACATGGGCCATCAATTATGTCTGTGGTGGTTTTTTTTATTATATACCCTAATGTATTTTCATCTGGGCACTAGGCAATTCAGTAATAGCAGGTAACAAATAATGAATACAATCCGACCATAAAAGAAATGAATTCGTATGAAATTATCTTTTTACTTACTGAAGCCAAACGATCGAATCGTGCAAATAATTCGTTCAGCAGTTTCACCAGTTCTTGAGCGCTACATTTGCTCGACAGCTCTGAGAAAGAAGAAACAGAAGTGCAATAATAAACAGGGTTTGATAATAATTATGAAGAAAATGGATGGTTTTGTGTGCGTGTATCCTACCTGTGAATCCTTTTATGTCTGCATAGAGAATAGAGACATTCTGATGCCTCTGTATGTAAAGGTTGTTGAATTGCTGTTCTTGGAACTCGCCTTTTACTTTGGATACGTGATCGTATATCTCCTTCGCAAGAAAATCCGGTATAACTGAAAAGCAAAAGATTTTTTTAAGTACTGTACGGTAAAACGTACCAGCACATTTCGCAAGTTCGTTTATATTTAATTTTGTTAATTTAGCGTTCTGCTTTCATGACGATGTATGTATGCGCAACACGTATCAATCGCGAGCACGTTATATCACTTTCAATTATCAGTTCCTATCATTTATCTATCCACCTCGAAAATTCCCCAAATTTTGACCCTTCGAGCCGGAATCATTATTTAAAACTGGGCGTTGTTCTTCAGTACATTCACTCCCTAAGCGGGAAGGACTAAGATAATATTTCATATGAATAAATATGAATGAACCCAGCAGTTCAACCCTGTGACGTAACTATTCCTAAAAGACAGATTTTTGTACTTTTCTGTCCTGTAGTTTAAAATAAGACAGGACTTTAGACAAAAACCTGGATATAAGATGAAAATCTGTTCTTCAGGAAAATATACATTACCTGTAATGTGTCGTCTTTTCACAGGGCGATCTAAAAATACACGTGTAAAAATAAAAGAACAAATCAGATGAAAGTGTATTCACCGCTCTCGAACAGCTTCTTCTGTCGATCGCTTTCCCGCTTGGTGCGCTGCCTGGTGACCATCGAGCGGTGCGTCTCCAAGAATGCCTTGCGTTGCCCCCAATCCGCCAAGTACTTCGCGTACATGCCCGCGAAATTCACCGCCGAGTATAGCAGCGCGTTGCTAACAAGCAGGCGCATACCGCAGGAACGTGACTGCGGGAGAAAATTTAAATTGGTTTTAATATAAAGAAATGAGGTTAAGTTCAGGAATGGAGGTTTGCCGAATTTATATACATAGAGAATGGACTGATGTGCTGATCCGCTAGGTATTTGGCATGCATATCCGCGCAGTTTACCGTGACAGCTGCAGCGCTCTACTCACAAGGAGTCGTATACCACACGAACGCGACTGCGATGAGATAATTTAAAATTGGAATTGCTGATTCTTTTCTTTGAGATCAAGGAAGGCGATCTAGAGATTTTCTTATGTACAAGGTTAATTGTCTATTGTTTTTTATAGGTCCGAACAAATTACGTCTCGTCATCTGATCTTACAAGATGAAGTCGAGATGCGAAGATAGCTGGTGTAGCAGTATAATCCACCACACCAATTTATTATAGCCATAGACACTGAAAATGAACAGTTAGCAACATCAAAAGGCTGATAATGATGATGATTCTCGCCAAAAGTGTAGTCACAGCCAGTTCGTTTTGGTCGACCAGCTCCTTATTCTCTACAGCGGTGGCCAGTACATGTGACATAGAAAACAATAGACCGATGACGATGCACCAGCCCAGGGAGAGAGGAAGCATGGCGTAAGACACGAACATTATAAACAGCGCCTACCACATCTGTCTCTCGGATGATGCCCATTCCATCTAAAGGCAAGGCCTGTGTCCTAGCAGTGGAGACGATGAAGTGATGATGTAACAAGTCTACTCGCGTGTCAAATACGATAAACAGCATGTATCACACCTGTCTCTCTGGTGATATCTATTCCATCTAAAGGAAAGTCCTTACGGAGGGAAATAAGTGCTGTCTCCCAAGAGTGGTGTCAAAAGTAAGATGAAAATGTTATTAGTTTACTCACAGCTAGTTCGTTTTGGTCGACAAGCTCTTTGATCTCTACAGCGGTGGCCAGCACGTGTGACATAGAAGAAAGTAGACCGATGACGATGCACCAGCCCAGGGATAGAGGCAGCATGGCGTACGGCACGAACACTATGAACAGCATGTACCACACCTGGCTCTCGGGCGATTGGAACCCGATGCCTTGGCCACCGAGACCTGCAAACAGATCGTTAGATTTTTACTAAAACCAAATATCATCACGCAGAGAACTTCATCGGATAGAATTAAAGCAAATTGTGATAGAGGAGATTTTATAGAAAGTGATAAACAAATAAGTTTTTAGGTTCTTCTGTCAAATAATCTATAGTACGTGTAATATTTATTTTTTTGTTTTCATTGTATTTTTTAATGCAGTATTGGTGTCAATTCTGGCATAATTCTCTAAACCTAAACAGTGTATCCTTGTCATTCTCTATACGGAATAAAAAGCCAAAACTGATGTTGAATTTAGTTTCAGGTTTAGAGGATAATGCCAGAATCGACACCAATATTAGTATTCTACCCTCCCTCTCTATATAAACCTTTGTTAATCAAGGCAAGATCATGCACTTTCTCTAAGGATTTTTTTCTGGAAAAGGGTCATAAAAGATTTACCTTCACGTAATAATATAGGTAACGATCACCACCCGAGCAAGCACATGCGTACTTTGAGCCCCGCGAATATATTCTATTGATAAAAAGATCAGCGACCTTGCGCGATGAGCAAGATCCAGGTAGCAGCGGCGGCCCAGTGCAGGTAGTTGTTGGCGAAGTAGCGCCACCACCCTAGCAGGCACACGCCCACGTTGAGCGACGCGAACGTATTGTATTGATATAATGGTCAGTGACCTTGCGCGACGAGCAGGATCCAGGCAGCAGCGGCGGCCCATTGCAGGTAGTTGTTGGCGAAGCAGCGCCATTACCCTAGCAGGAACATGCCCACGCTGAGCCACGTGAACGTATTGTGTTGATATAATGATCAATGACCTTGCGCGAAGAGCAGGATCCAGGTAGCAGCGGCGGCCCAGTGCAGTTAGTTGTTGGCGAAGCAGCGCCGCCACCCGACCAGGCACACGCCCACGTTGAGCCACGCGAACGTATTGTGTTGATATAATGATCAATGACCTTGCGCGATGAGCAGGATCCAGGCAGCAGCGGCGGCCCATTGCAGGTAGTTGTTGGCGAAGCAGCGCCATTACCCTAGCAGGCACATGCCCACGTTGAGCCACGCGAACGTATTGTGTTGATAATGATCAGTGACCTTGCGCGATGAGCAGGATCCAGGTAGCAGCAGCGGCCCAGTGCAGGTAGTTGTTAGCGAAGCAGCGCCACCATCCTAGCAGGCACACGCCCACGTTGAGCCACGCGAACGTATTGTGTTGATAATGATCAGTGACTTTGCGCGATGAGCAGGATCCAGGCAGCAGCGGCGGCCCAGTGCAGGTAGTTGTTAGCGAACAGCGCCACCATCCTAGCAGGCACACGCCCACGTTGAGCCACGCGAACGTATTGTATTGATATAATGGTCAGTGACCTTGCGCGATGAGCAGGATCCAGGCAGCAGCGGCGGCCCATTGCAGGTAGTTGTTGGCGAAGTAGCGCCACCACCCTACCAGGCACACGCCCACGTTGAGCCACTCGAACGTATTGTGTTGATATAATGATCAATGACCTTGCGCGATGAGCAGGATCCAGGTAGCAGCGGCGGCCCAGTGCAGGTAGTTGTTGGCGAAGCAGCGCCACCACCCTAGCAGGCACACGCCCACGTTGAGCCACGCGAACGCCACTGTCCACGCGATCCTGTACGCGCCCACCACCGCGTCCGTATCTAGAATTGTACCTGCTTACATTTTGTTATAAACATGTTTGCTGTTAATTGTCATTGATCAATGGCCATCTTTCTAAATAGAAACCGAAGTAGAAAACGGTAAGGCCCTCCTCCACAAGCGAGAGAATCGCTGGTATTCCGTATTTCCATCGTCGGTCGTTATCTCTAGATTATTCTGTCGCGTTTGAAATTTTCTGATGATGTTTGAAAACACGCAAATCACCTCGATAATATCCCCGTATGCAAACATGTTCTATGAGAGTATACACTCTTACAGAAGAATTACGCGGCACGACGATAATACAGACGCAATTCTTTCGCACGTTCAGAAGAACGTGGCGCTTAAAAATAAGCAATAAACTTTAAAATTATATTACGAAAGCTTTTGAATTCTGTGCAATAAAATAAATCAAATTTTTCATGCCCATAAAACAAGAAATGTTATTTTGTTGCTTATTATTAAACTTTAAAGGAAGCGTTAGTGCCTAAGCATACAAGAAAATATTAAAAGCTGCTGATTGAATTATTGGGAAGGTATTATTATTAAGGTAAGTTATTTATTTTTACAAAGAGCTCTCTCTAGCAGAGGATAAATTGAGATGGCTGATGCGTCGGAAAAATGAGTTGCTCGAGTTATCCTACTCCGTGGAACTCTGTTACCCAAGTCACTAACAGTACCTTACGCACGAACCAATATCGAATTCGAATAGTTGAATTCGATCTCCGTAACAGTCAAGAAGTTTTGTATGGAAGATTTTTAATTCTCGTTACGTCCTTTATGGCGCCTGGCCCATGCGTTTTTGCTTAAAAAGTGTCTTCCATCACTATTAAAAAAAATGTAACCAAAACATGATATTCATATAAATTATTATTATTATTTCTATGGAAACTTAGCAGCGCCCCTACTAAGAAGCAAGAACAAACAAACAAACTGGCTACTTCCATAGAAAATTTTGCGAAGCCGATACGATTACGGGTCTGACGAAGTTTATGTATGGGTTACTGAAACACGCAAGCACAAAAAGGTACTCAAAATAATAGTGTTATTTTACCATAGTTTTCTGTAAATGTAATTTTATTATCTCTTCGTTATTTTTAAACGAAATCCTGCTTTATCCTTTAAACGATTAGAAAATACGCTTGTTTAGGTCAAAGGTAGTATTTAGGTGTCTTTTATATTAAGTCTGGCCAAGAATTTTACTTAATGATCCTTTTGGGTATGTCATAAGAGTACACAACATGCGTACATACTACAGCGTCAGCCACCTTTAACTTTTTGGTTTGATTTTGTAGTATGGAGCTTTGGGGCCTTATAAGTAACCATGAACCAAGTAGTGAAAACCTTCGTCCATGACTTTGAAGGACCATTTAATCTCTTGGTTGATACTAATTAAAGCCGATTTTACATTTACGAAAGTTCTGTCGCCAAATTATTTTCATCGTATTGAAACGTCGACGCTATGCAGTCTTGTTAAATGATGAACAACCAACCAAGTTAAGGTAATAAATTACGTGTATCAAATATTTTCCTGCGACGATTACCTAAGTTTTTGTGTAAATAGTTGTAAAACTATATTCGAGATCAAATCGGGTGAAGCATTTGATTAAAACTAATCTAAGCGTGAAGAGCGATTTTAAAATCTTCGTCAAGATAACAGTGTAACGTTGACAAAGTAGGTGGGAAACTCATAAAAATAGAAAATGCTGTCGCAACGGTAACTACTTTACGGTATAAGTCACGGCACGAAACTCTAGCACTGACCGTTATTGCGCAGAAGTAAAAATTAAGATGTCTTGGGGGGGAAACGAGGTGCGCGGGCGAGCATATTATGTTGCGCCGATTGGCTCTCCAGTCGTACCCATACACAGCTATCCCCTCCGCGTTTTGTTCAGCGCTAGAGTGACGTGCCGCAACCTGTATTTTCATCAATGTGAAATCGCGAACCCGAATTGGAATACCCGTCTTGGGAAGTAATCTTACAGAAGATCACAGTAAAATGACACTACCTTTTTGTGGTGTTCCAGGGCTCCACGGGGCAGGGGATTGGGTCAGGGTAGGCAACGGTCCGAGTGATATTTTTGGTATCGCAAGCGTCTATAGGCTATGGTGATCCATTACCACCAGGTGGGGCATATGCTTGTTTGCTACTCTTTCACAATAAACAAAAATCAGGAAAATTCTTTAGTTGTGTTATCTTCGAAGAGCTTTGTTTTTAGACTAAATAAATTATTTTGAGTTTATTTATTATGTTAATAAGTACATTTTAAGAAAATAGGTGTTTTAAATCTCACCTGTACTCCTATTAGTTAGAATATATATAACTGATAAACATATCTGGAAAAAACAAACACTTATGTTAATACATATTGATAAAGATATTGTTGAAAACAGATAAAAAAAAGCTACACGTTAAACTTGTTTTAAAAACTATATGCATATATTGTTTGTAAGTAGGCAGAGTGTTTGCAAAGTTATGATTAGGTATTATTATTTTTGGAGTTTACTCCTTAAGAATTGATTTGCATATATAAGGGGCCCGGTATGAGAAAAATGTGAGGAGTAAAATCTACTGAACAAATGACCTCGTTACGTTTTTGTGCACAACCTCATCTGCGCACCTTTCACTTTTAGCCATGGCAACGGATAAAAAACATTAGGTTGTCACAAATGTCAATAAAATAAATAAACTAAAAATAGATAAAATCGGAGCAAAATTAATGAAAACAAATAAATAACAGAATATAGAGAAATGCCGCTAAGTGTCTAGCACTCTGGAATAGTGATTTTCAGTACAGATGGAATTATAATACATATTTACAAAATGATGACTAGTGTGTGATATTTTAGAAACTGTGTGTTTCCAGAAATACATAATAAAATATATGATGAATATCGATGATGTTAGATGATAAAATGTGTGACATGGAACCTATAATAGTCGAAACCATGGGACGATTCCTGAGGTATCTCTACTTGTAACCGACTTCTTCGGACTTGATTTTGTTTTGTGTCTGTTCAAAGACAATCGTTTTTAGAGTGTAAACTCTGGTCGTGCGTCGGAGCTGACACACACAATTTTTTTTTCAGGAGGAGTTAGCGCGTTCCGCTGCGATCGTTGAATTTAAGCAACTTTCGCAGTGGTTGGTCATTGGATGGGTGACCGAAAATTTACTATCTCGAGCTCCTCCGTGCTTCGGAAGGCACGTTATGCCGTTGGTCCCGGCTGCATCTGCAGTCGTTAGCACCCACCAATCCGCACTGGGCCCGCGTGGTGGGTCATGGCCCAATCTCCCTATTCCATCCATAGGGAAGGCCTGTGCCCCAGCAGTGGGGACATTAATAGGTTGATGATGATTATTTTCAGACAGCAAAAGTAACATTTATTTACACTTATTGAAATGTTACCGACCAATTTATGACTGACTTTTAAGTATTTTATATTCAAAGCTAAGGCTTAGGTGAGGAGACATGTTTTTCATAATTTATTATTATTCCTCTTTCTTAAATTTTTTATCATATTAATTTCAATTATTTTTTTTACTTACTTTTAAAGCTAAGTCCACTACGTTGACCATAATTAGAGATTTCTGGCGCTGCCTCCGGGAATACCTTTGGTAAGAGCATTCCACAGCTTCATCCTATAAACATACAAAATATAGGTACTATGACAATAACGAGATATAATGAAACGAATGGAGAAGACTCAATGGTGTTCAGTCTGCGATTGCAGAAGTTAAGCAATTTTTGCAATGGCGAACCATTACATGGGTGACCAAACACTTATTATGTAGAATATTAAGGGTACTACAATATTAAGCGACTGAATACGATCCTTTTTTTTATTCAAACATAAATTTCTGATACGAGTAAAATCAAAATCGAATACTTATAACAACATCGTTTATAACAATGGGTCGGTTTTTACGACCAATTGGCATGGTCCCGGCCGAAACCAAGTATATAGTATAGTAAACCAACCGCCTGTAACAACATTGGATATAACGACGTTGCTTATAACGGACTTATAGTAATATTCCTTGTTGCAGCAAAACAAAACATAGGTACTGTAAGTGCTGCAGGTACTTAATTTTTTTCAAAATAAACTTTTTACTTCGGTTCATATATGCATGCTTTATCCATACTGTATACATACATGTATATGACAATAATATGACTACTTGTTTATATTGCTCATAACAACTATTGGACATAACGTCCGAAGTTGTTTGGTCCTTCAAATAAATATAAAAGATTAGAAGCAACTTAATAATAAATTCACTCGGACAAAAATGCAAAAATCTTTTTGTAAATTTTAGTAGTAATAAAAGCTTTATTAATGTCTAATACCAATATATGTCTCTTTGGGATGTAGGTAGTAGTTGAATAGTAAAGTAAGTAAAAGGATTTAAACCCTAATCTATACTCGGTTTTCTATAAAAAAATAATTAAATGGATTTATCGTAAATCAGTTGAACGCACGTACCTACAGGGTGTAAAAAACCTATGACAAAGACTAAAACTATGCATTCTGTACACCCAAACAAGTAATATTACAAAATATTATACGTGGGAATCATTTTTGTATTTGTAAGTTAATTTTTTTTTTCCAGTACGCTATGTATAGTGCGGCGCGCTACTGTGGCGCGTGGCGCTACGCAAAGAATGTCATACGCACACACATAAAAACAGGCGTGTTTATGTGTATGCGTATGTGTAAGAGCGTCGATAAAAATTAAAAAAGTCAATGTAAACATAATGAAAAACAAATTGTGACTTTGATCTTCAATATCTCCATTCCCAGGTATGGTCCAGAAGAAAAAAAATATCGTCATGATGTGGAAAATACATGGCCTTCGACTTCATTAAAGGATTTTTACACCCATATATGAATGTATATGAAAGTTAGTTTATAGACTTTCACTAAAAAATCTCCGCGCAACACGAGATCTTTTACAATGGAAATATTGCGTCCGTAATGGAACGTATCCGCTCTGTTAGCTTGGCGGCGAACTTAATGCCGTATTCATATAAAAAGGCTACAATGTCCTTCATAAACTAATGGCTCAATTTCATTTCGTCGCTAGCCCGGATTCGGGTGATCATAAGACATTACTTGAATTCGGGCACCCGAAGCATAAATCCAATATTTACACTGTAATACGGGCTGGAAACAGTGTAGGGTAACCAAAACAGAAATTACTCGAATACGGGCGTACTCGACTCTTTAACACTGAGTCGTTTACCCGAATAGGGTATTTGACAGTAATAAAAACAAAGTGCCAAATATTAGCATCTGTGTTTAGAGTTTCGAATGAATATTGGCAGGGGTTTTAACTATTTATACAGAAAACATATACATAATAGGGATGATGACTAATTTTTTTTCTTCGGTAATCAGGTAGATTATCAAAAAGTATTGGACACGTATTTTTTCTTTTTTCACATAATATAAATATTGCAGAGATATATTGAATTGAAAAGTCGCATGACGTCACGTTTGAGTACACTTATAAGTGAAAATTCACTCAAAAGTGACGTCAAGAGCCCCTTCTCCCAAACTTTGACGCGCTATAACTTTGTCATTTTTTGGTTGATTGCCCAAAGAAAAAATACGTGTCCATTATTTTTTGATCATCTAACTGACGGACTAAATAGAATTTCGTTTGCTGTACCCCGTCATCACCCCTATTTTATTAAAAACCCACGAAAAACTTAATAGTTTTCTTATCTATTATCACGTGACCCAAAACGCTTGGGATTGGCGGAGCTTAAAATGACATCACACGCAAGTAAACTTCCGGTTAAAGTGACATTACATTGTATCGTTTGACGTTTTAATAACAGTCATGTGACGTCACACACCAGTGAGACGCCATATTGTCCAGCGAAACGTTTTCGCGGCAACTTGAAAATGAAGTTTTTGAATTGGTTATTTTTACTGAAATAGGCAACAGAATGATGAATATCCACTTTTTACGGACTCCATAAACGTTACTCAATAACGTGAGATCGTTTTCTAAAACTTGTCAAATATCCTATTCCATTGTCAATGGTATGCGGGCTAACGACCAAGTGTAATCGCGCCATAAGGCTTTCATCAATCAAACTATACATTAATAAATTACCTTAAAACTATTAGCAAGTGAGGGCCAATATATCCCTTTGTAGTATCGCCCCGTCCGTAATATACTCTCAGTTGACACTGTAACATAATTAACAATGTAAGCAGACGTTTAGTTAAAGTGGCAAGTCATTTAATTTGTTTGTCGTACACAAACTTTTATTTAGCTAAAGTTGCAAATCATTAAAGTTTCACTACATTTCTCAGCATCCAGAATAATGATAATATTTTAATGATGTTTTGCTATTCTGCTTTGTATTATGAACGAATATAATATTTTGTAGTTTAGGAAGATAATAGAAAAAAAACGACGGGTTGTACTCCGGGAGTGCCGGCAGAAGGGAAAACTTGAATATTAACGTTGTGCATTTTTGATATTTTGGAATGGTAAGGGAATAATTTTTCACGAATTGATTTAATTATCAGTATAAAAGTACTATCATTTATGTGGTAGAATACTATATTTATTTATTGCGCTATCGTACACAAACATGACAATTTATATTACATTAAAAAGTTTATCTCTCAGAAAAATCAACTTACATGAATCACATTTAAGCGGGTACGCTTCGCTAGGTATAGCGACATACCTATATTGTAAAAAAATGCATTTTCTTCGCAATAAAGCTGCCACCTGGGGGCCATTCACCTAACGGGATTGCTTTGGAAAACGCTATCGCTTACGATTTCATTTTGCTATTTCTAGCCGCCGCCTGAGGTTTTCAAATGCCTCGCGCTCTTTTTTTTACTTTTGCGTTGGTAATAACATTATTAAAGAAAATGAGCGTGAGGTATTTGAAAACCTTCGGCGGTCAGAAATAACGAAATGAAATCGTAAGCGATAACGTTTTCCGAAGCAATCCCGTTAGGCGAATGGCCCCCTAGACATCCTAATTAGAAACTTATGATTATAATACGATATAATAAAATATTACTTTGTTTCATCCAATATATTGAAAGTCAACAACTTTTTCAATTTTATTGTTTTCGTCCTACGAATTTTCGATTAGGTCACGTGTCCTGAAGCGAGTTTAACTGTTTTTACCCATTACAAAAAAAGTGTACAAATCCGATAGAGAAGTTTTCACTTAATAATATCAGACTCTCCTTTTCATTCCGTATAGAGAATCACAAGGATGCGCTGTTGTCAAATTAAATTAGAAAATTTAATTAATTAATAGGTTTAGAAAATTATGCTAGAATCGAAACCAATGTACCTGTGTCCTTGCCCCCTCCAAACGGGTGTATACAATTCGAAGAGTCATCGTCACTGATTCTGTGCTGTAAACAAAAAAAAACGATAACCATATCAAAAAGTGAATATACGAGTATGTATACTAACACAGAATAAATATTGGTACATAGGAGTTAATGGTTGTAACACGAATGTTTGTACGAAGAGATGTGGGAGAAGAGGTAAAATAAGAGCTACAGTGATCTCAATAATCTGTCTGACCCAATAAAGCAGGGCCGGATTTAGAGGTGAGATTGAGATTGGCAACGATTGAGCGAAGGCCCCTAAACTTATAAATCGGGACCTGAGCATTTACCATTTGCACCAGCCCCCCGTTTGGTGAGTCTGTTATGGAGCCCCTGGGCTACAGCCTCGTCTGTTCTGCAATAACGAATAAAGGGCTTCTGCTTGAATTCCATTGGTGTCTACATACCTGGTACCGTTCATCGGCAGCCTCATCCCTTCAGGGGGTCGGATCTCCTCCGCATCAGGCTCCCGCGTGCAATCATCACACCCTCAAGACTGTGGGACAATACCTATCGTTCGCATTCTGGTGTCCACATACCTTGGCGTCGAGGGCAGAGTAGCTGATACCGTTCACCGGCAGCCTCTCCACCTCAGGGGGATGCCCGACCCGGGCATCCTCTGCATCAATCTCCCGAATGCAATCATCACACCCTCGAGACTGTGTAACAACGCCTATTGTTCGTATTCTGGTGTCTACATACCTGGTCGTCGGGGGCAGAGCAGCTTGCGCCGTCCCCCGGTAGCCTCTCCCCCTCAGGGGGTCGGGCCTCCTCCGCATCAGGCTCCCGCGTGCAATCACTACACCCTCGAATCTGTGGAACAATGGTAACAATTATTAATTTAAAATATCCTTCCGTATTAATCGCATTTATTTAAGAGCAGCCATTCTCATTTTAAATTCCCGCTTTTTTAGCAAGTTTTTTTATAAAGTTCAATGGGTGAAGTCGTTTTGATAGCAGCGGTTAGTTCAGATTATACTGTTTCATTGGTGACAATTATAAGCTAGAAATCAAAAATATAATGAAGAAAAACTGCTTTAAAAAGTATATATATAGATTTATTTGGACAGCATTATAAATATTAATGTGTAAAATTTTCAATGTCGTTACAGCCCGCTGATGGAGGGATGGACGGACGGCCAATAATTAAGACAGGCTTATTAATAGCTATGTTGTAGGATAAATTGAATTTTCACGAACATTCTAGGGATTTTGTTAAACTGGCTCCACTGGCTTGATAGAAAGTGATCACCCATTTTTTGATGTGAGGTTCCATTATTGTTCCTTTTCTTATAACTATACCATAGTGATAAGTATAAATAAGAGGCAAAATTCTGGTTCAGTAGTCAAGTTAAAAAAAGTCCATCATTTGAAAAAAAAACATCGCGGTGTCACGTTTTATCTTTTGTTTTCAAAACCATTTCTGTAAATAGAACACACAATTCTGGTATTGTATTTTCAAATAGCAAAAGATCTAACTCTGCGAATTTCGTATTAAAGACAATATCTAGAAAATGTAATGACATTTGTCTTATTCCTGAACTACGCTTTTAGCAGGAGTGAGTGCTCACCGTTCTCGGGCTATTCAAGTTTTTAATGCAACTTCAAAGATAATTTGAGCACTTTCTACCAAGCTAAAAGTATTCCTGGCAGCTCCAACAAAGAACGAGTTAATGTACTTATAGCAGTATGACTGAAGTTGAATTTTCCCTTGCTGCTTTATTGTTATCAATCAAAAAAAAAACTAACTAAATCTAGGTATTTCCATTGTCAACTAATAAAATAAAATAGTAAGTAAATAAATAAGTTAAATATTTAAGTATGGATTTGAGTTTTGCTGATAAAAGTTGTATCAAGAACGTCATCAAACTTTAACGAACTTTGTAAAATATCGAGAATATTTTCAGAGACAACTTTCGGAATAATAAATATTTTCGTCGTTTCAGCGCGTTGCAGCTGACATTAACATGGAATTCATTATGCAACTTTGATGGAAAAGAGTATTATCGTGTAAATGTGGCATCGCTGGGGTCGTTGTTGTAAATACTTATTTTGCAAGATGTGTGAGGATTAGCGTTGCCAGACGACCCGTATTCCCGTAACGTCCCGTATTTCAGGCATAATTTTAGATCCCACTGGGACAGACTGCTCTGTATATGTCTACATTATTCGTTTAAAATACGCGCGACGTATATAACTAGAAATTTAAAAAACGTAAAATCCTTTTTTAATTTATACCGGAGAGAAATTTATGTTGAGGTTGTATATACCTGACTTGTACTGGCTACTCTTATTTATAAGGTGTTTTTAAAATTTATATTTCTTTATAAATTTTCTTATTTTTAAAGCATGTAACTGCTTGACGTTTAAATCTAAAGAAAATATAACCAGAAAAAAATCCTCGAGGACCTGGCAGCAGACGGGACTCGAACCCGCACCCTTCATAATCCGGGCGAATGCACTGACCAATTATGCTACCGCGGCCCTCGCGGACCGCGTCGAAATTCTTCTAGCCATTCTTAAGCTGCAAGGCAGCGCCATCTCTTCGCATTATAGGTAACCCACAATATATTTCTTTGTTCTCTTGTCATTCTCTTGTCTAATAAATAATATCAACATGTCAACATGGTAGCAGTCCGTGGTTGAATTTTTTATTTTTATTTTAAAATAATTATAACTATTTTTAGTTCAAAGATTTGGATAAAGTTTTACGGAGACTAAATTATTAAAAATAAGTGCTACTGCGGTTACATTCCAATAATTAGACGGAGCGTCAAATTATGCGACGTGGAAGTTCCAGATGGAATTAGTTTTAGTAGCAGAGGACTATTGGGAGTATATATTGGAAATACCACTGAGTACCGACAGCGTAGCTCATAAGAGAGATGCGAAGGCAAGAGCTAGGATTTTACTAATGGTGCAACCACACTGTCTTGTTCATTGCAGAAGATCACAACTACGAAAGAGTGTTGGAAGGCATTACAATCGGTGTTTGAGGACAACGGGGTGAATAATAGATGTGTGCTATTGGGTAAACTGGTCAGTCAAAGTCTGAGTATGTACGATTTACCTTGAGAATATATCACAACTATCCTATGTATTGCTCATAAACTAGAGAATATGGGCTAGGAGCTAGACGAGGCAGCAGTTAGCTGCCTTAATGCTGCAAGGATTAAGTGATGAGTATGCGCCGATGAGAATGACCTTAGAAAAAAGCAACATAGATTTGACCACAGATTACGTCAAGAGCAAGCTATATAGAAAAGAAGGCAGAGGTTCCATCTACGAGTGCTATGGTAAATATAATTCCCTTACAAATAAAATATAAATTTGTCCCTTACAAAATAAAAAAAAGCGGGGCAACCTAAGTGAGGATGTTTAAACTTTTGTCAGTTCTATTGTTTCATAATTGCAAAAAAAAAGGTATAATAATGTTGAATTTTAAATTATGCAATTTAGGTAAGTTTGGGTAGCTTGACTTGTGGTTGTATCCTCTGTACAAACAAAGCCGTAATAATGGAGATATTCTATGAATAACGGTATTATTTTAACTTAATAAACTCGTTTTTAATAACATTTTAAGCCTCGAAGTGTCCTTGTCTGTGAGAGTTATCTATAAATGTTACCTAGGACACACAGCCCAGGAGATTAACGCAAAGTACCTAACGAGGTAATCCTTTGACACCGGGACAAAATACTGTGACATGTTTATCTAATGTGCTAGGGGCGGGAAACCTAAATTCAAAATACTATTTTTGGGTCCCATACCACTAATAAAATGGAACACGTGTAGGACCACGTTATTGTCCGTCCGTGCCTGTGTCTGTCTGTCAAGACTCATTTTCTCCGGAACGCGATTATCTATCAAGCTGAAATACATAAATCTTTTGGAGCAGAACACTCCCTTGGAGGGGTCAGACGTTTTATTAAACAGAATATTATTAATACACATTTTCTTTTTCAATATCTGGGTCTAGATTTATGAGCCTCTGTTTTAATAACCAGTTTTCCAGATTCCGATTTCTAGGCCAAAATGAAATATCCCGTGCGTGACAGGCTCTGACCCGCTTTTCGGGGATTACTTGATGGATGACGACTTGACGCTATCTACTTTTACGTTATGGAATGAAGAAGGCTAATTTGAATACAAACTTCAAATCCCACCGCGGATCCGCGATGCGAAATGAGTTTGTCCTTAAAGAATAGCACTTCTGGGTATCATCGCCTATGGATGCCTATGGATGCGCCAACACAAAATGCGTCAGAGGTCACCCATGTTTTTTCAGCCTGAAAGTACCCGATTAACACACCTTTGGAAGGACCATATATCGTAGCACAATGGAAAGACCTTTTAAGGAAGCTTATCTCACATCCTTCCACTTCGTGGGATAATTTCTTCTTCTTTTCATAGATTCCAATAAATAATGAGATCCTTTGGATAAAAAAGTGTCCAGGATGTGAGGGTGGACAGTACTTCCTTGGGATGGACGGGATGTGATACCTAATATTATAGCGAACTTGATTATATTTTCAAAAAGTTTTCGAGAATAATAATCTGACAACGCTGTGTCGCCCACCTTTTAATACACTAATGCTTCTCCCACATGCTCGACGAAGCTTTGGGTTACTTTGGTACTAAATACGCTAAAATTACGCGTTGGAAATTTGAATTAGTTCTCTCGTAATGAATGATCAAGCTACGTGTGTGATTTTTGACACGCTTAATAATATAAATGCTGGATTTCTTTTTTTGTGGACTTTTGACAATTTTATTAAAGCGTAGTATATGCACTAACCTTAATTGCTTTAATCCATTCTATCTCCCACCCTTTTCATACATGTGCACTTTTAGTTACGGCCGTCTTTACTATCGACGACACCGCGGAGTGCATCGGACATTATACTGTTCCTGTTTCTTAATGCTAATTTTAGTACCACAGCTTCGTCACGCAAGTATAGGTAAACATATTGATTAGAGATTAGTGGCGACATAGAGCACTTTTATTACATCGCATGAGGAACATATTTTAATTGAAAGGCATAATTAAAATAAAGCCTACACGAATCCATAATTAATCGACCTCAGGAAATACTTTGTTAACTTTTCAGAGGAACATTGGCTTATATCTAGTTCTGTCTTACATCAATTTATAAATTTTTGTTTACCGATTGGTGTCGGTAGCTTTACTGCAAACTTCTAGAGAGGATCCTTATACTTTTTCGCGAACTAATCCTGAATGACTTACCGGCAGACAAGGCGAAAGTCATGCTAATATGCTTCGCGCTGTGAACAAGCTGACAGAGCTCTGGCTTAGTGTGAGATGTTCGGGTATTTGAAGACTTTAACCGTAACGAGGATTGAGCACCATACCTCTATGTATAGTGTATACCACCATAATTCTGTAAGGTGGTGGTTAACTAGACTATATCCTACATTTTTTTACTTTAAAAACTGATCTTTGACGACCTCCGTGGCCGAGTGGTTTGTACGCCGGGTTTCATGGTGTCGCCGACTCGAGAGGTCCCGGGTTCGAGTCCCGGTGGGGGCAGATGTTTGTGTGATGAACGCGAGCATTTGTACTCCAGTCATGGATGTTTGATGTGTATTTCTATGTAAATATACTTATATATGTACTGTATATGTATTCTATCCGTTACCCTAGCATCCCATAACACAAGCCTTACAGTGCTTACTTTGGGGCTAGGCTAATTAGTGTGAGTGTTGGAAATATTTATTATTTATTTTATTTATCTTCATTACTGTTTACCATCGCGGCGTCACACAGCTTCTGTTATTTTGGCTTTCCCTTGGGAAC